TCTGTCAGTGACAGCATTCAACTCTACCTTTGCTGCTTACATAGTTTGGCATCCCCCAGCGGAGCAAAACTAACGTACACACTAACATACAGACTGACCGTTAGTCATGAGTTATTGGTGAATCATGCCCAACTGTCCTTCCCTGCTGATTATCAATCAAATACCTTTTTCCATCTCGGTAGTGTTGACTAAAAGCCAATGGGTGTAAATCCTGTCATGACCTTTAGCATGATTTGCTCTGTGCGCTTACAGGAGCACTCTGTGTGAGTGGCTGTATATTCTGACTGAATGGTATACGAGGAGGGGGATTGTTTTCTGTTTAAAGCTGTCATCAAGGCAAGAGTGTGCAAAGCTGTCATCAAGGCAAAGGGTGGCTATTTGAAGAATCTCAAATATTAAATATATTTTGATTTGTTTAACACTTTTTTGGTTACTACATGATTCCATATGTGTTATTTCATAGTTTTGATGTCTTCACTACTATTCTACAATGTAAAAAATAGTAAAAATAAAGAAAACCTTTGAATGAGTAGGTGTGTCCAAACTTTGACTTGTAGTGTATATCACAAGAAAGAGGAGAAAGCGGCCTTTGCACAAGTGAAGATTTAATTCATTTGAAATGTTTACTAAGTACCTCATCTACAAAAGAAGCTGCTCCCGAAAATGTACAACAAATTCTTGCAAATACCAGGTTTAGTCTTACACACATCGTAAACTATTTGTGTGTTGGTAAATTCTAAGGCAAGACCTTTAGATTATAAAACAGGTGGGTATTATTTTTTTAAACACAATCTCCACCTAATGTTGAATATGCAATGTTGAATATGAGTGAAAGACTTAGTGAAAGCTAAAGGAGATTGTGAGGGGGCGGTACTATAAAGATGCGGCTGCATATCCGTGGCTGCATATCCGACTTCTCTGGAACCCTCTTCCTGACAACTAAATGTCCTCTTCTGCGCAAGCGCGGCATTCTCTACTTTATGCACAGTCTCTGCACTACTTGTTTGGCTGCTCAGAGAACAGGCTACTCTGGCGAATGATACTTGTTTATTCAAATTAGATCAAAGCTGAATCAATGCCTGCAGGATCACATAATGATATTATTCTTCATAGAACCGCATATAATAGCATAGTATAACGTTACAAAAAACACCAACTCATATCTTATAAAATGTGTGACCGACCGGCTCGATTCGGTGTTATGTAGCAAAATTTGAAATTGTGTTTTTTACATTGGATAAAGGTAGAGACTCAGAGCTAGAAAATGGTAAATCATTCACTACAGTTGAGGAGCAATGGGAAAGTAATGCTGTTTTGAAAGTTGATATATTCGTAACCCCACTTTTGAGAAAATGTTCCTTGAATGTTTTGGTACCTACTGGAGAGCTCTTTTTTGTCTACACCCATTCAGTATTGTTCACACCCTCTTAAGCCTTAGCCCCACCCATCTCTTTAAGGATTCACATGTGAGGCCATGTGCTAAACAGAGTGAGTATGGTAGTGTACTAAACAACCAAAGATTTTAAGACTAAAGGCTGGTTTATACTACGTCTATCGACATGTCTGTAGACAGTTGTCGCAGTGACATCATGAACATTCTATTGTCGTCCGACATCAAACTTGTCATTGTCATTATGAGAAAGTATAAACACAAAAACTACAGGCTGCATGACATCAGCAGCCTGGTGGTCCAAAACAGCATAACTGGTGTATTTTAACACCAATAAACCCTTCCGTTTAAAAATGAATTAAGTATATGTCAATTTAGCAAACCAGGCAACTAAAAGCAACTTTCTAAACAATATTGTGGTTAGTTTCTAGCTTGTTAGCTAGCTAGCTAACATTGAGTTAGCTGGCTAGCCAGTTAAAATAACGACCATATCATATTGCTGACAACGTGTTAACTTGAGCTAATTTGTATTCATTATTACAGGAATATAAACTCACAACAAGATCATTATTTACAAGTTAATGGCGAGCTAATTACAGAAAATAGCTTACGGTTGTGAGTGTGACGAAATCAAAGCAGGGCGTTCGACCTGAGAATTTTAGAACTTGGACACTGTCTCATTGGCCTAACTTTATATCCTAATTTGACTTAGATGCAGGTCATGTTGTTCTTCACATTACTGTCTCTGGTAAACACACACTATATCAAATAAAATCAAAGTGTATTTGTCACATGCACAGGATACAGAAGGTGTAAACAGTACAGTGAAATGGTTACTTCCATAGTGGAGTCTTTTGTTTAGACATGTAGCTAGCTAGCTAAACAATAATCCCAACTCATAACGTTACTACCCTGTATGAATCTGCAGGTAGCTAACCATCTAGGTTCAATGTTAGCTAGCTAGCTAACATTAGGCTATAACTAGCAATGCAAATGTTATACAACAGCCTTCAGTGGGTTCTCTTTTCGACTCCCTCCGCATATTTGCAATCAAACACCAGAATTTTTTCCATCTCCTTAGCTATCATACGCTGCTTCCACCGGGCATTCCACTGATATCAAAACTCGGTCCTCCAGAAAGTGGAGAGCAACACTTTTGCAGTTCTTCATGATATCTTTCAAAAAAGCCGTGTTAGAAAGGATTACCTACACATACTGAGCAGCTCATGTTATACACAGAAGCATGCTACATGGCAGACCAATCCGAACTCATCTCTCGACATGTCCAGCCCATCCATTATCTCAGCCAATCATGGCTAGGGGGAAGGTTTGTTATTAAGGCACATGAAAATTCACATGTTCCAGAAGGCATTTCTGCCAAAAAGCGCATTTTGATAAAAAATTTATGTTTACATTCAAATGCCTCTCCTGTGAAGTAGTGATGAGTGACATACACCTAGTTTCCTGAATCAAGTCACATTTTAGGATGATTGTGCGAATGGAAAGTACATTTTTCTCTAATGTGGCCAAAACTCAACAGCACGCACCACTAGGCAAAATATGTACTTGCTTGAAACTAAACACAGGTATGATATAGTTTGTTATCCATCTGCTCTAAGATTTGCTCACTGTACATAATTCAAAACAACACTGTAGGCTACTTTGAAACAACACTGTATAACTCAAGAAGATCTAAATGGTTGGCATGCAGATGCTGCATGGACTTTTCACCGGTAAAACTTGAAGAATTATCATTCATGATTGACAGTGAGAAATGTGAAGGTGACCACAAAAATGTGTGAGTAAAGTAGAGAAACACATGCGCAGAACGTGAATGCGCAGAACGTGATTTGGATCTTCAGCTCTGGGGAAAAGGGATCCAGAGGGGCAGGGCGGGTTCGGTCTTTACTAAACTATGTCCATGTGTATACGCAAATTAGTTGTTATTTACAAACTTTATAATTCTATCACTGTAATAATAAAACTCAAAGACACCAAGTCCTTTACATTCAACACTGAAACCTGGGAAGGTGCCGTCTTCACTGCCAGCAGGCACTTTGCAGCAGGCTGTGAAACAACACTGGCTCAGAAGAGAGAGAATAGGAAAGAACATCAGCACACCACCGAAACATCCATAACATCCGGGCCAGCCTACAAATGTGACAACTGTGGCCGAGTCTGTCTCTCACGTATTGGACAATAAATCAATGGTCTCCTGAGACTACGATGCCGCCGCCTCTGAATAATACAACACATAGGGGCCGTATATGGTTTTAAAATGTTGCTATGTGCCGTTTCAAAGAGGAAAACCTTTATATTTTACATTAAATTGAATAACTGAATTGCCACCTATTCAGTCAATATTTTAGTGTTTATTACATTTCAAAGAATAAAAGAGCATTGAGTATCGTACTCCATTATGCAGTTGCATTTTATTTTTATAAATGTTTATAAATTTTCACAACCGTTGCTACTATAATATAATGACATGTATGTGGCAAGAAATTATTTGGATTCTGTGCTTACTCCTTTTTGGATTTGTGAGTGGAGGCTACAAACAAACACAAAACTGACGATTAAGACTTTGATGACCTTTACAAATGACACATGACCTTTTCCTCTAAAACTTGCTATTTTGACTGTAGGTATATACTGAGTGTACAAAACATTGTGAAACATTTACATCACAGGTGCATCTTTATTTGTATTTACTTTTATTTTATCCTTATTTTACCAGGTAAGTTGACTGAAAACACATTGTCATTTACAGCAACGACCTGGGGAAAAGTTTCAGGGGAGAGGAGTCCAGGTGAAAGCTATGATCCTTTATTGATGTCACTTGTTAAATCCGCTTCAATCAGTGTAGATGAAGGGGAGGAGACAGGTTAATGAAGGATTTTTAAGCCTTAAGATAATTGAGACATGGATTGTGAATGTGTGCCATTCAGAGGGTGAATGGGCAAGACAAAATATTTAAGTGCCTTTGAACGGGGTATGGTAGTAGGTGCCAGGTGCACCAGTTTGTGTCAAGAACTGCAACGCTGCTGGGTTTTTCACGCTCAACAGTTTTCCATGTGTATCAAGAATGGTCCATCACCCAAAGGACATCCAGCCAACTTGGCACAATTGTGGGAAGCATTGGAGTTAACATGGGCCAGCATCCCTGTGGAACTCTTTCAACATCTTGTCCTTGCAGAGTCCATGACCCAATGCGACGAATTGAGGCTGTTTTGAGGGCAACACAATAGTAGGAAGGTGTTCTTAATGTTTTGTACGCTCAGTGTATATGGGACAAATAGGAAACATATTTAAGCTGTATGTATATATTCTATGTTGTTGTGTGCGTGCGTGCGTGCGTAAGGCTGTGTGTGTATGTGTGCACGTGTGCGCATCAGCTGTCATAGTCATAGGCAATTTGGTAATATGGAGGAGAGCTTTTTGGATCCATGATTGTGTCCTTGCATCTATGACATTTGGAATGTCTGAATCATTTTGCATATGTAATGTGATTTATCGATGTAACAAAATTATTTAAAACATGTTTCCTGGCAGGATCGGTGAGGATGTGGCGAGGGCAACGGAGGGAGGCTACGCAGGGAAACACTTCCGAATGGGCTTCATGACCATGCCGGCGCCCCAGGACCGCCTTCCCTCCTCCTGTGGCCAGGGCTTCACTGTGCGTTCCCAGTCTCTACACTCCGTTGGCAGTGGAGACGAGGATGGGAGCCCCAACTCCCGTAAGCAACCGCCGCCCAAACCCAAGAGAGACCCCAACACTAAGCTCAGCATCTCCTCTGAGGGTGTGAACTCTGGATCTGCCTCCAGCAATTGCAACAGAGACAGCCTGGACAAGTTTGACCGTGAGTGGCCTGGCCTGTGTGTGTGTGTGTGTGTGTGTGTGTGTGTGTGTGTGTGTGTGTCCATGTCAACTTCAAATGAGGTTACTGTTCTTATGAGGAAACTTCTTAGGTAGCCTGATCCTATATATTGTACAGTTGAAGTCTGAAGTTTACATACACCATAGCCAAATATATTTAAACTCAGTTTTTCACAATTCCTGACATTTAATCCTAGTAAAAATTCCCTGTCTTAGGTCAGTTAGGATCACCACTTTATTTTAAGAATGTAAAATGTCAGAATAATTGTAGAGAGAATGATTTATTTCAGCTTATATTTCTTTCATCACATTCCCAGTGGGTCAGAAGTTTACACACACTCAATTAGTATTTGGTAGCATTGCCTTTAAATTGTTTAGCTTGGGTCAAACGTTTCGGGTAGCCTTCCAGAAGCTTCCCACAATAAATTGGGTGAATTTTGGCCCATTCCTACTGACAGAGTAAGGTTTGTAGGCCTCCTTGCTCGCATACGCTTTTTCAGTTCTGCCCACAAATGTTCTATAGGATTGAGGTCAGGGCTTTGTGATGGCCACTCCAATACCTTGACTTTGTTGTCCTTAAGCCATTTTGCCACAACTTTGGAAGTATGCTTGGGGTCATTGTCCATTTGGAAGACCCATTTGCGACCAAGCTTTAACTTCCTGACTGATGTCTTGAGATGTTGCTTCAATAGATCCACAACATTTTCCTTCCTCATGATGCCATCTATTTTGTGAAGTGCACCAGTCCCTCCTGCAGCAAAGCACCCCCACAGCATGATGCTGCCACCACCGTGCTTCACGGTTGGGATGGTGTTCTTCGGCTTGTAAGCAGCCCCCTTTTTCCTCCAAACATAACGATGGTCATTATGGCCAAACAGTTCTATTTTTGTTTCATCAGACCAGAGGACATTTCTCCAAAAAGTACGATCTTTGTCCCCATGTGCAGTTGCAAAATGTAGTCAGGCTTTTTTATGGCGGTTTTGGAGCAGTGGCTTCTTCCTTACTGAGTGGCCTTTCAGGTTATGTTGATATAGGACTCGTTTTACTGTAGATATAGATACTTTTGTACCTGTTTCCTCCAGCATCTTCACAAGGTCCTTTGCTGTTGTTCTGGGATTGATTTGCACTTTTCGCACCAAAGTACGTTCATCTCTAGGAGACAGAACGCATCTCCTTCCTGAGCGGTATGACAGCTGCGTGGTCCCATGGTGTTTATACTTGCATACTATTGTTCGTACAGATGAACGTGGTACCTTCAGGCGTTTGGACTTGGCTGATTTCTTTTGATTTTCCTATGATGTCAAGCAAAGAGGCACTGAGTTTGAAGGTAGGCCTTGAAATACAATTACAGGTACACCTCCAATTGACTCAAATGATGTCAATTAGCCTATCAGAAGCTTCTAAAACCATGACATCATATTCTTTAATTTTCCAAGCTGTTTAAAGGCACAGTCAATTTAGTGTATGTAAACTTCTGACCCACTGGAATTGTGATAAGCAAGCATTTCACGGTAAGGTCTACACCTGCTGTATTCGGCGCATGTGACAAATACAATTCTATTTTACTTGGAACCCGCTGATTCCAAGTAAAATAATGCAGAGTTAAAAATCACGAGAATTAACAACAGAAAATGTAAAATGGTAACACAATAAATAACAATAATGAGGCTATATAAATAGGGGTATGAGGTAGCTGAAGTAAAATGTACATGTAGGTAGGGGTAAAAGTGACTAGGCAATTGGAAATCAGGATAGATAATAAACAGAGTAGCAGCAGCGTATGTGGAGAGTGTGAAAGTGTACATGTATGTGTGTGTGTGGTGTCAATATGCATGTGTGTGTGTTTTTTTTGTTTGTGTGTGTGTGTGGTGTTCAGGTTCCTTTTGGTCCCAGACTTGGCACTCTGGTACCGCTTGCCGTAGCAGAGTGAACAGTCTATGGCTTGGGTGGCTGGGGTCTTTGACAATTTGCTGGACCTTCCTCTGACACCGCCTGGTATAGAGGTCCTGGATGGCAGGGAGCTCCGCCCAGTGATGTACTGAGCCGTCCACACCACCATCTGTAGCGCCTTGCGATCGAGGGCGGTTCAGTTGCCATACCAAGCGGTGATGAAGCCAGTCAAGATGCTCTCAATGGTGCAGCTGTAGAGCTTTTTGAGGATCTGAGGGGCCATGCCAAATCTTTTCTACCTTCTGAATGGGATGAGGCGCTGTCATGCCTTTTTCACGTCTGTGCTGGTGTGAGAGGACCATGTCTTAAGTGATGTGGACACAGAGGAACTTGAAGCTCTCGACCAGCTCCACTACAGCCCCATCGATGTGGTCAATGATCAGCTCCTTTGTCTTGCTGATGTTGACGGAGATGGCGGCCTCGCGACTAGCTCTTAGGAAACTTTGCGGTATTTTTTTTATTTTTATGTATTATTATTTTTACATTACTAGCTAATAAAATGTTTTGTATCATTACATACAGCCAGGAAAAACTATTGGATATCAGAGCGGCGGTAACTCACCAGAACTACCAGCATTACGATAAGGAATACAACTTTCCCGAAGCAGATCCTTTGTTCGTGCTCCCCAGGGCAATTGAACTGATTCCAGGGCCGTCCCAAAACATCGCCGGCGGAGGAGAGGCACTCGGAGAGCCCTGCTGGTTCGACTTAGGAGGCGCGCACACCAACCACCGCTTCCGAGTATATTACTAGCTAATGTTCAGTCTTTGGATAACAAAGTTGACGAGCTCAGGGCAAGGGTTTCTTTCCAGAGAGACATCAGAGCCTGTAACATACTTTGTTTAATGGAAACATGGCTCTCACAGGATATTCTGTCGAAATCGGTCCAGCCAGATGGGTTCTCAGTTCATCGTGCAGACATAAATAAATATCTCTCTGGGAAGCAGAAGGGCCCACTACTGTACTCCTTGTTCACCCATGACTGCATGGCCAGATGGCATCCCTAGCCGCGTCCTCAGAGCATGCGCAGACCAGCTGGATGGTGTGTTTACGGACAAATTCAATCTCTCCCTATCCCAGTCTGCTGTCCCCACATACTTCAAGATGGCCACCATTGTTCCTGTACCCAAGAAAGCACAGGTAACTGAACTAAATGACTATCGCCCCATATCACTCACCTCTGTCATCATGAAGTGATTTGAGAGACTAGGCAAGGATCATATCACCTCTACCTTACCTGTCACCCTAGACCCACTTCAATTTGCTTACCGCCCCAATAGATCCACAGACGATGCAATCGCCATCACACTGTACACTGCCCTATCCCATCTGGACAAGAGGAATACCTATGTAAGAATGCTGTTCATTGACTATAGCTCAGCATTCAACACCATAGTACCCTCCAAGCTCATCATTAAGCTTGAGGTCCTAGGTCTGAACCCCGGCCTGTGCAACTGGGTCCTGGACTTCCTGACGGGCCGCCCCCCAGGTGGTGAAGGTAGGAAACAACACCTCCACTTTGCTAAGGTGAGCAGGCTATGTTGTTCAAACAGTTGGAGATGGACAGGAGGGTCTATTCATAACAGTTCAACTGTTCTACCTTGTTAGCAAGCAAATAGATCCAAGTTTTCCAACAGTCTTGATGGAGTTCCCACATATGCTGAGCACTTATTGGCTGCTTTTCCTTCACTCTACTGTCCGACTCATCCCAAACCATCTCAATTGGGTTGAGGTCGGGATATTGTGGAGGCCAGGTCATCTGATGCAGCACTCCATCACTCTCCTTCTTGAGGTGTGTTGGGTCATTGTCCTGTTGAAAAACAAATAAAAGTCCCACTAAGCCCAAACCAGATGGGATGGCGTGTCGCTGCAGAATGCTGTGGTAGTCATGCTGGTTAAGTGAATTCTAAATCAATCACAGACAGTGTCACCAGCAAAGCACCCCCACACCATAACACCTCCTCCTCCATGCTTTACGGTGGGAACTACACATGCGGAGATCATCCGTTCACCCACACCACGTCTCACAAAGACACAGCAGTTTGGACTCCAGACCAAAGGAACATTTCCACGGGTCTAATGTCCATTGCTCATGTTTCCTGGCCCAAGCAGGTCTCTTCTTCTTATTGGTGTCCTTTAGCAGTTTTCTTTGCAGCAATTCGACAATGAAGGCCTGATTCACAAAGTCCCCTCTGAACAATTGATGTTGAGATGTGTCTGTTACTTGAACTATGTGAAGCATTTATTTGGGCTGCAATTTCTGAGGCTGGTAACTCTAATGAACATCCTCTGCAGCAGAGGTAACTCTGGGTCTTCCATTCCTGTGTCGGTCCTCATGAGAGCCAGTTTCAACATAGCGCTTGAAGGTTTTTGTGACTGCACTTGAAGAAACTTTCAAAGTTCTTGACATTTTCGGTATTGACTGACCTTCATGTCTTAAAGTAATGATAGACTGTTGTTTCTCTTTGCTTATTTTAGTTATTCTTGCCATAATATGGACTTGGTCTTTTACCAAATAGGGCTCTCTTCTGTATACCCCCCCTACCTTGTCACAACACAACTGATTGGCTCAAACACATTAAGAAGGGAAGAAATTCCACAAATTAACTTTTAAGAAGGCACCCCTTTTAATTCCAGGTGACTACCTCATGAAGCTGGTTGAGAGAACGCCAAGAGTGTGCAAAGCTGTCATCAAGGCAAAGGGTGGCTATTTGTAGAATCTCAAATATAAAATATGTTTTGATTTGTTTAACACTTTTTTGGTTACTACATGATTCCATATGTGCTATTTCATAGTTTTGATGTGTTCACTATTATTCTACAATGTAAAAAATAGTAAAAATAAAGAAAAACCCTTGAATGAGTAGGTGTGTCCAAACTTTTGACTGGTACTGTATATATAAGATAAACATACTGTTGACACTTAGGCTATGGTGTAATGGAATGTTTTGCCTTGTGTGGTAGGCTTTGTGGGTTTTGACACTCTTATGTAGGTGTCATAACAGCCATAAAATAAGTACCGTGGCAGGTTTTGTGGGTTTTGACACTCTTATGTAGGTGTCATAACAGCCATAAAATAAGTACCGTGGTAGGTTTTGTGGGTTTTTACGCTCTTATGTAGGTGTCATAAACAGCCATAAAATAACACAATATATGTCACAACGTGTCTAAATATATTTGTCATGACCATATAATAACAGGTTATGACAAGTTATGTCAGCTGTTATAACATATTATGACATGGTTATGACTGTGTTATAAGGTGTTATGCCGCTGGGTGTCAAGTGTTAACAGAGATTGTTGATGAGATCTGTGTTCATTTTCTATAATGCCTGCTACAAGAAATTGGTCATTATTAGTGAATGTGCATTGTGCATCGTTCTTTAAAAATTTGTAACAAAAATCGCATTTTCATAACAATACTTGAAATCCAGATTAGTGATTATTGCAAAAAAGCAGGTTCAACTATTTTGATAAAATAATTACATGATTAGTGGGTCTTATGGTTCTGAAAGGCTTATATTTAGCCTAGGTATAATTTTACAGGCCCTGAATTCATTAGATTATTCATGGCTGTTTGAAATGCAGTGTATTGACCTATAATTATGCAACACATATTTTTTCTAGGAAACATTTAAAAAATCTAGATATGATATTGTGAATCGCCCATAAGTTTGAAACAATCGAGATATAATTTTTAGGCCATATCGCCCAGCCCTAGCTTGGAGGGGACTAGGGTGTTGAATGCTGAGCTTGTCCAGGTGGGAGAGAGAAGTGTGGAGTGCAATAGAGATTGTGTCATCTGTGGATCGGTTGGGGCGGTATGTGAATTGGAGTGGGTCCAGGGTGTCTGGGATGATGGTGTTGATGTGTGCCATGACCAGCCTTTCAAAACATGGTTACAGATGTGAGTCCTACGGGACGATAGTCATTTAGGCAGGTTACCTTTGAGTTCTTAGGAACAGGGACAATGGTGGTCTGCTTGAAACATGTTGGGATTACAGACTGGGACAAGGACATGTTGAAAATGTCTGTGAAGACACTTACATTTACATTGTAGTCATATAGCAGATACTCTTATCCAGAGCGACTTACAGTTAGTGAGTGCATACATAATTGTTTTTATGTTTTCATACTGCAGCTGGTCTGCGCATGCTCTGAGAACTCAGTCGCCCAGGACAGCAGGGGATCTCATGCCTGGCTTAGTCTTGTTTGCCTCGAAGCAAGCATAGAAGGCATTCAGGTCGTCTGGGAGGTTTGTGTCACTGGGCAACTCACGCCTGGTTTTCCTTTGGTAATCCGTGATATTCTGCAAACGAGCGTTGGAGCCGGTGTAGTAGGATTCTATCTTAGTCCTACTTTGACCTTTTCCATGTTTGATGGCTCGTCGGAGGTCATAGCGGGCTTTCTTGTAAGCGTCCATGTCCTTGTCCCGTTCCTTGAAAGTGGTAGCTCTTTAGCCCGGTGCGGATAGTGGCTTTTGGTTTGGGTACGTACATTTGGTCACTGTGAGGACGACGTTTTCAATGCATTTATTGATGAAACCCCTGACTGATGTGGTAAACTCCTTATTGTTATCGGATATTCCAGTCTGTGCTAGCGAGGCAGTCTTGTAGCTTAGCGTCCGCTTCTTCAGACCACTTCCATATTGACCACTGGTACTTCCTGTTTGAGTTTCTGCTTGTAAACAGGAAACAGGAGGATGGCGTCATGGTTTGATTTGCCGAAGGAATGGCGAGGGAGTGCCTTGTATGCGTTTCTGTGGTTAGAGTAAAAGTGGTCCAGAGTGTTAGCGCCTCTTGTGGCACAGGATAAGGGTTGGTAAAAGTGGGGTAAAACGCATTTCAGCATTTTCTTGTTTGTTTACGTCACAGTCATTGGCCCAAGCCGCAGTAGCAGCACGTCAGTAGGGGTAGTAGCAGTATATAGCCTTACTCTGAATCTTTCAGGAGAGAAATATAGGATTCTTCTTCATCTCCTCAGCATTGTCTGTATGCAGATGTCCTCACTTCTCTCTCTCTCTCCTATCTCTCTCTGTTCTCCGCTCCACACTCTTCTCATCCCTCTCTTAGGCTCTCACAGGTCTTCATACATACTAGGGTTGAATATTTTCCCGTTATTTTACAAATGTTCCATCCCGAGAATAAATAACTTTTCTCCCTGGTAACCTGGTATTTCCCGCCAAAACTGGAAGTGTCATTCTAAAGCATATAAAGCATATAAATATGTCTGGATTTCATTAGAGCTTTGATCGGCATTACAATTCATGTCACAACTTCCGCCGAGGCTGCCTCCCCTCCTTGTTCGGGCAGGTTTCGGCGTTCGTCGTCACCGGCTTACTAGCTGCTGCCGATCCATTTATCATCACTCCACAAGTCTTGTCTAATTAATCACACACACCTGGTCCTTATCCCCAATTAGTCATTGTATAAGTGTTCCCTCTGCTTCCTTGTCTGTGTGGGTGATTGTTTGTTGTGAGCTGTGAGTAGTGCGGTTGAGCTACCCTTACCTTGTTGTTGCCAGGGTAGATATTTCCCCTGTGCCTGAGTTTTGTTGTCGCATGCTTGCGCAACTGTTTATCGACCGAATAAACTCTTTGGATGCGTATTACTCTCCTGCGCCTGACTCCTTCTATCACACGCATCACAATTCAAGCCTGATGCTACCTGAGCTTGATGATCCATACATTAAAGATATTTTATGAGCAAAAAATATTTTGTGAGCCCAAGCCCAAAAAAGCCCAAATGATTGTGCTGTTATCCAGCACATGGATAGCACATTACACACTACAGAAAAACATAAAAGCCCATAGATTTAGCTATGCTCTCTTGGGTTACTAATGGTTTTCTTTGAGACTGTGGTCCCAGCTCTCTTCAGGTCATTGACCAGGTCCTGCCGTGTTGTTCTGGGCTGATCCCTCACCTTCCTCATGATCATTGATGCCCCACAAGGTGAGATCTTGCATGGAGCCCCAGACCGAGGGTGATTGACCGTCATCTTGAACTTCTTCAATTTTCTAATAATTGCGCCAACAGTTGTTGCCTTCTCACCAAGCTGCTTGCCTATTGTCCTGTAGCCCATCCCAGCCTTGTGCAGGTCTACAATTGTATCCCTGATGTCCTTACACAGTTCTCTGGTCTTGGCCATTGTGGAGAGGTTGGAGTCTGTTTGATTGAGTGTGTGGACAGGTGTCTTTTATACAGGTAACGAGTTCAAACAGGTGCAGTTAATACAGGTAATGAGTGGAGAACAGGAGGGCTTCTTAAAGAAAAACTAACAGGTCTGTGAGAGGCAGAATTCTTACTGGTTGGTAGGTGATCAAATACTTATGTCATGCAATAAAATGCAAATTAATTACTTAAAAATCATACATTGTGATTTTCTGGATTTTTGTTTTAGATTCCGTCTCTCACAGTTGAAGTGTACCTATGATACAAATTACAGAGCCTTACATGCTTTGTAAGTAGGAAAACCTGCAAAATCGGCAGTGTATCAAATACTTGTTCTCCCCACTGTACATGTTCTTGCTATTATTAGGCTATTATGGCATGGGCGGCAGGTAGCTTAGTGGTTAAGAGCGTAGTGCCAGTAACCGAAAGGTCGCTGGTTCTAATCCCCGAGCCGACTAGGTGAAAAATCTGTCGATGTGCCCTTGAGCAAGGCACTTAACCCTAATTGCTCCTGTAAGTCGCTCTGAATAAGAGCGTCTGCCAAATGACTAAAATGTAAATGTAATAATCTTAAAACAACAGAACATAACAAAACAGATCCAGGGAGGGCCCCAGGGATCGCTGGTGGTCATGGGGACAAAGAAAGTCGCTTCTTGCCGCTGGCAAATTGAAATAAAATAGAAATTGATCATTAATAAATAATTTAATAGGCAACTTATTGGAAATGTCAGAATAATTGGGAGACCAATAGTTACTGTAGGACATGTGCATTTAAGTTTACTTCCAAACTTCCAATTAGTTGTTTATTCACATAAAGGCTACATATTATTGTGTAGAAACAGGATCGCGTCCACGGTGGAGGGTTTCAGCATGGTTCTCCTTTTGTCTATGGTCCGGCCTGCCGCGCTGAATACTTTTTACTGCTGCTGCTGGCCGGGACGCAAAGCACACTTCTCGCCAACTTGGCTAGCCGTGGATACACTGTGCTGTTGGACTTACACCATCCTAACAGGTCTCTTTTGTCTGTCATCACAGGCCTCTGTGGTGTATCTTGTCACCTTGTCATTATCGTCTTCATTGGCATTCTCTGTGACATTTTCCCACTATGAAAAGTCCAACCCTGTTCTCTTGGCGGGGTGTGGCACAGACGCATTGTCTTCTGTAGGCTCCTCGGATGGTGGCACAGCCATGGATTGTAAAAGTGTGCGCACATGGTCATAGACATCTTGCCTGTCTCGGGCGGGCAGCATCCTCAACTGGTTGAACTTGGGCCAGAGGAACGCGTTGCCACCTTGTGTAGGTCTTTGATGTCCACCTTCCTCTCCAACCAACCGCTTTGACGCTGTTGCGAGTCAAGTGCATGGGGCTGACAGTGGCGCTTTGGTCTCTCTGACCTGAGACAAACCAGTTTTAGAGAGGGATACTTTTCCAGTTCCTTCTGTGCGTCATAAAACGGTTTTAGGAACTCCAGGGGATACTGCAGGTAATTATTTTGACTCTCTCACTCTCTCCGCGGGCCTCCAGCTTCTCGTGTACCTCATTGTACACGTCCTGGACAGACTTGAGGGTCAGGTACACCGTACTAAACCTTGTGTCTCCCATCTGCAGCTGGGTCTTTGAGAGTTGCGCAGCCAGCCCAGACTGCTTGACATACCTGTAGAGAGTATGAAAAGCACATCATAAACCTTCAAAACCGGTGCGTGGCAAAATAAGATGCACATGGAAAGCTATATGAATGAATTAGGTCTATATTATTATTATTTTGTTTATATTAATTATATTCCTAAAATGCATTGTTGCTAAAGGTATGACATGTTTATATAAAGCAAAATAATTAGGATAACATACTGCATTGTATTTATTTAGCATATATCATCATATCATAAGTAACCTACCTGACAAGTGAGCGTTTCAGCAACGTCAGTCGCGTGGATGGCCAGTGCTGCTCCATCAAGGGCATGTCCCAGCACCTTGTATAGAACTTGGTCCTCGCAGTCCAGCCTCTGATATGGCCAAAGGGCTAGAACGATGTTGGAGCCCTGGTCAGTTACCCTAACAATTTTGCTTAATGACGTAGTGTCGAGGCCAAACTTGGTCACTATTTCCCCCGGTTTTGGCATCTTCTGCTGGAAACTGTGCTGTGGTCAGGTTTCTTGCGACTAACTGGAAATCTGCGGTAATATAATGGCATGTTATTGTCAGATAACTAAGCTGCCGATAGTCATCAGTCCATATGTCTGTTGTCTTCCCGACAGTTCCCTCTTTTAGGATGTTTCAACTTCTCTGTCAGGTTTTCTCTCTTTTCATCTGCCAGGGGCAGAACAGAGGTAGCAGTCACCTTCCCGTAAGTAGCCAGCACATCAATAAGCTTTTGGGCAAGCTCCTCAAAGCCTGCCCCTTCTACAGTATTGAAGGGCCGAACATCCTTACAGCAAAAACTGACGCATTTGTCAGGTACCGACTGCTTTACTTTAAGTGGCACAGTTACGTTTTTGTTAACAAATGCAGACATAGAGGTTTGGCCTGGGGAAGAGGCCGTCGCACCAGGGCATCTGTTAAAATGGCACTACAGAGAAGACGTATCTGTTGTCTTGCTGTCATACTTTCAAAATGCCCCGCTCCCTTTGAATTTTGCATTGCCAGAGGATTCACCACTGGTTTTAACAACCAGGTCAAATGTTTTCCAGACATCAGACTTCACCTGTGGCAAGACCCTTCTTCACATCCTTCGCATCCATTTTGCTACCGGCACATGTGTTACAACGGTTTTCGGAGGTTATAATCAATGTATTAATGTGATTATGACAGTCCGGCCTTACCCTATTGGTCATGCACTACATGCACGGTGCCACGTGAATAGAGCATGGCAATGGTTGAAGGTAATGGGGAATGTCTTTGCTTTTAACAGATGAGGGATTTCAGTAACATAACTTTCCAGTAAGAGAAACAACAGGTAAACATTTTTATAAATAATGACTGTAATTAGGTATAGCTTCAGTAACATGGACAGCGGGATACACACTGTTGCTGGCTGCACTGCCTGTCCTGCTCGTTGACAGAGAGGAGGAGAGAGAGTCAAGCTGCAGCATTTTCTTTGTGTGACATTTTTTTACACATCCTGACAAGCCCGAGCCCAGGCCAGCCCGAGTAAATTTTTTGAATTTGAGGCCTGGCCTGGAATGACAACTCTACCCCTAACCTTGAGCCTAATGCTAACCCTAACTCTGAAGAAACAAATACCCATGTACTTGCAAGCAGTGGCGGCTCCTGAAAAAATTCTCAGGAGGGGCAATTTTTCTGATGATTTAGGTGACCTACACACATTTAAAAAAAAGATATGTCCAGCAACAACATGAAGACAGGGGCAGCATATAAGTCAATACCAGAAGCATTTATTGACTGATCTCAAAAGTGTTGGCTTACCAGGGTTGGTGGAGCCCTCAGTTTCATCTTTGCCTCGCAAAGCTAACTCAAACACTCCGCAAAACTTCACACACTGGATTAGCCGGCTGAGGATGTGGCGGTTCTTGCTAATGTCGTAGTAAATATATTTGTTATAGTGAATATGGAATATGATATGTTGAGTAAAATGTTGTGCTAAGATCTATTTAGGTCAGGAGCTGGTTATAAGTTCTGTTCCTATCCAATAACAATGGACAAAAGGGTCCTATCTTGTCAGCCTTGTCAGCAGGTGGCCAAGGACAACACCCACGCCATAGGCCTCTCAGTTCTTCCAACTCACGAGTTCTTGCTCTGAGGACACACACACACACAAACACACACACACACACATCATCACTGTTAAACACACACACACACACACACACATCATCACTGTTAAACACACACACACACACACACAAAAATCCCCTCTCTTAGGCTGAACATTTGAAGACAGAGAACCCGACTCAGAGCCAATGCAACAGTGACAGTAGCCTGGAGGTGACCTCGCCCAACTCATCAGGACCAATCAGAAGATCAGAACTACTAGATTGAACCTACTTCATTTATTGCATAAAATGTCTGCACACAATGTTTCGGGGCTCTCTTCAGATAATAATAATAATAATAATAATATGCCATTTAGCAGACGCTTTTATCCAAAGCGACTTACAGTCATGCGTGCATACATTTTTGTGTATGGGTGGTCCCGGGGATCGAACCCACTACCTTGGCGTTACAAGCACCATGCTCTACCAGCTGAGCTACAGAAAGTGGATACTCATGGATGCGCATTGCAATTGTAAAATGTCAACACAATTGGAGACACCACGTCATTTTTGGAGACATGTTATTGACAGTAAACTATTGTAGATGCGACTGCTAACTAAATAAAACATTTTAGCTGGCTAGCTAATCATCTTAGCTAAATGTGGGGCAAACAATTCAGTTATTTACCGTTAATTTGAGGGATTGGGGTGAAAGAAATCGAGTTACATAGTGATACTTTACGATATACTGTATTGACAATATCGCAATATTTTAGCGCTAGTTGGCTGTACCTGCACCAAAACACCATTATTGTTCCTTCATAGCTTGTTCTCAATCTTTTCACATTGGGAGCCAATTAGTTTTCAGCACTTTTATTTCCATGACTGATCAAAACTCGTTCTCATGGCTTTCTGATCCCTCTGCAACAGACATATGGTGCGCAATAAAATCACAGTATCGAATCGCAATACGTATAGAATCATGAGACTCGCAATGCTGATGCATATATCTTATCGTGAGGTTCCTGGCAATTCCCAGCCCAAGTTCATTTGCCACAACAAATCTCTTCGCTAGCAAACGCGATGTCTTCTCCAAAACGACAATGTGTCTCCAGCAATGTTTACTTTTTTGACGTTCTATGGCATCTCCACTTTCCAAGCATATATGACCACATGTAATATTTTGGTAAGTGATGCAAATAGTGAACTATGTAGGGCCAGGATGTAAAATATATGTAGCTGCAGCAATTTCTCTTATCTGATATGGTAAGTAATGGGGCTTAATTTATTGCTCCCTAAGAGTTTGACGAACGGGTCCGTGAACGCGATTCCAGATATATTTACCTCTGAATAAACTGCCTTTATTACACCATATCCACATCCAGTAAACTTGTGATTATCAACACTAACCTCATCGTTGTGGCGGCGGACAGCTAGCCTGTATCCCTCGTCATCCAGTTGAGTGGCAATGTCTTTTTTCGTTCGTACCAATTTTTGGAAAATCCTCGGGTGTAGGACTTTCCGCCTTTAGTAGAAACCTGTTGAATTATTAAATTTGGTCTGGGAGGTCCTAATTGTTTCGTTGCCAATTTATCTTAATTTGTTCGCCGACAAAAAGGAACTTCTTTCAAAGACACAATCGAGTTGGACTGAAGCCTAGCCATTTTGATAGTAGTAGTGAATTGATTGAGGCTGCTACCTGGTCTTTTCTTAGTTACGTTCATTCGTGGTTACGTTATGTATGACGAAAGCGCGTAAGTGCAAGCCCACAGACACCCATAGAGAATGTATTGAAAGCTTTGAAATGTGAAAAAAATAGATTTTACATGACAGGCTATGAGAGACTTCTGGGCGATTTTCAACCTGACTGAAATCGCCCAAAAAACGGGCGGGGCCATTTGAAGCACGACTTTAGCCTGATTTGACATTTAGTGGCTGTCAGATCAGACGTGAACACTGATAACTGCTGTTGCCGTGATATAATTTTTTATAAATTTATAAAAAAAATATATATATATATTTTTTATTTTTATAATTGATTAGAAAAAAAATCCCTTCCTTTTCCCGTTTGGCAGTGCGTCGCCCATATCGCCCTATTGAACAAGCCGTCCCTGCTTGCAAGTGAGGAAAAAAAGGATGTACTTGCCGGGGCGTCCAGTGTGGCAGTCCCCTGCACCTCTCCAAAACCTGTATATGTATGTGTATGTATCTGTGTCTTTCAGAAGGGTTAAAAAGCGTAGGTAAAATTTTGGTTGGACCTTGTGTGCAATTGACCAATAAAGTGATCTTAATCTTAATCAATTCTGCCGCTATTGTCCTTTGTATCATGGCCATCTGCTGATGACCTGTTTTAACGCTGCTGTCTGTCTGTCCCCCGTGCAGGGTCCAAGTCGCGACCGTTCAGTGAGGAGTACAAGCGCATCCCTCCTCCCAAGCCAAAGAGGAACCCTAACACGCAGTTGAGCACCTCCTTCGATGAGTCCTACATCCAGAATCACAGCAACAGGAAGGAAGGAAGGAGGGAAAAGCCCTCATCGCAGAGCCAGAGCCCAGCCCCAGACACGGAGGACGAGGACGAGCCTGTCTACATCGAGATGGTGGGTAACATTCAGAGGGACCTGAAGCAACGCCACCTGGAGGACGAGGACCAGAGTGAGTCGGTCTATGAGGAAATGAAGTACCCCATGTTCAACGACCTGCTCCAGGACGCTAAGTGGGAACAGGACATGGAGCAGGGTCGTTCCTCCTCCTCCCACTCCACACCCTGGGGGTCCCTCTGTGACATCCCCATCCCCTTCCCCAACCTGCTCACCCACCGGCCGCCCTTGCTGGTCTTCCCGCCAGCCCCTGCCCAGTGCTCGCCTAACTCGGATGAGTCACCCCTCACCCCGCTGGACGTCACCAAGCTGCCCATGCTGGAGAACGTTGCCACTGGGTACACCAACAAGCCCGGGGGGGGTGCCTCACCCACGACCTCTGAGGCTCCTCCCCCCTCCTCCACCCACCACCGCAAGGGGGAGAGAGAGAGAGACAGGAAACGAGAACGAGAGAAGGACAGAGAGCGGGATCTCCAATTCACCCACACTATCACTGTGTCTGGCCGCTCCTCCGCCCCTCCCCTGCCCTCCACTCTCTACAAGGCATCGGCGTCGGCCCATGGGTACCCCCGAAGCCACTCCGCATGTCCCTCACCCGTCAGCATGGGCCGCTCGCTCACACCGCTCAGCCTCAAGCGCCCACCACCTTACGACACCCTGAAGATAGGGGGCAGCATGCCCCGATCCACCTCTTCTGTGCCGCACGCTGCCAAGAGCTCAGTTGGTCAGGAAGGGGGAGGCAAACTGAGTAACTCTTCTTCGGCCCACAGCTCCATGCAGAATGTGTCGCGTTCCCACACCCCTACAAGCCCTCTGGATGAACTCACCAACCTGTTTACCGGTGGCCGGAATATGCTAAAGAAGGGATCGGGAGGGAGGAAGGTCAAGGAGACCACTGAATGTGAGTACCTATGATTAGGTATTGGCACATATTTTGTGCATAAGGGTGCATAAATGATGCATTAAGGTGTGTTATTTACGAAGACAAAGAGATGCGTAACAAATGAGGCGAAGGTGAAAGACAGAGGGAGTGACCCAAATTCTTCCGGAGCCCCACCTCAAGTGTAGCTTCTTAAAGTAATACTTCAATAAATGTTCAATTTCAGTTCTGTTACAACTGTCTCAAATGATCTATGTAAATTCAGAGGGTGACTGCTAAAAAGTTGCTAAAAGGTATTGAATAAATTCACACATGGATAATACCTGTCAATCTGTCTCCTACCCAGAGACCATGAGAGATACATAGAGACAGGCCATGTCAGAGAAAACATAACAGAGAGAGAGAGAGGCAGTGTCAGAGGGAGAAAGATAGACAGTGTTGGGAATAGAGGAAGAGACACAAAGAGAGAGGGAGGCAGTGTCAGATGTGTTCTTCAAGACGTTCAAATGTTCATAGATGACCAGCAGGGACAAATAATAATCACAGTGATTGTCGAGGGTGCAACAGGTCAGCACCTCAGGAGTAAATGTCAGTTGGCTTTTCATAGCCGAGCATTCAGAGGTTGAGACAGCAGGTGTGGTAGAGAGAGAGAGAGAGAGAGGGAGGGAGAGAGAGAGAGAGAGGGTCGAAAACAGCAGGTCTGGGACAAGGTAACACGTCCGGTGAACAGGTCAGGGTTCCAGTTGAAACTGGAGCAGCAGCACCACAAAGTAGCACATGTGGTGAACAGGTCAGGATTCCATAGCCACAGACAAAACAGCAGAAACTGGATCAGCAGCACGGCCAGGTGGACAGGACAGCCAGGAGTCATCAGGCCAGGTAGTCCTGAGGCATCCTGAGGCATGGCCCTAGGGCTCAGGTCCTGTAGAGATAAGTCAGATCAAGACGGAACTGTGCGATGTAGTAGGGAGTTGTAGTTTCCAACAGGCCAATATTCTATATAGTTTAGCGCAGAAAATGTGTACAATTAACTACAATGACCATAATGCATTGCGCTCGCTTACTTGTCAGGGAGAGAAGAGAGAACGCGCAAGAGGGATAAAGCAATTGCTCTGCAAGGTACAGTATCTCTACCTGAAAATACATGATCTTAGTCAGTGGTCACCAACCAGATTTTTTAAAACATGATTTAAAAAACATAAGCCTATGCAACGTTATCTTATTTCTTAAAAAGTCTAAGCCGTTATTTGATTAAATGAATTATTTTACTACTATAGTCCATAAAAACGCTTTGAATAACACATTCATAAATGGCAAAAAAGTAAAATAAATAATCAGGAACAAGGTTTTGAAGTGTCTGTCCTATATCTAGGAGATATAAGAAAGCTCAGGAAATATATATATATACAGTGGGGAGAACAAGTATTTGATACACTGCCGATTTTGCAGGTTTTCCTACTTATAAAGCATGTAGAGGTCTGTAATTTTTATCATAGGTACACATCAACTGTGAGAGACGGAATCTAAAACAAAAATCCAGAAAATCACATTGTATGATTTTTAAGTAATTAATTTGCATTTTATTGCATGACATAAGTATTTGATACATCAGAAAAGCAGAACTTAATATTTGGTACAGAAACCTTTGTTTGCAATTACAGAGATCATACGTTTCCTGTAGGTCTTGACCAGGTTTGCACACACTGCAGCAGGGATTTTGGCCCACTCCTCCATACAGACCTTCTCCAGATCCTTCAGGTTTCGGGGCTGTCGCTGGGCAATATGGACTTTCAGCTCCCTCCAAAGATGTTCTATTAGGTTCAGGTCTGGAGACTGGCTAGGCCACTCCAGGACCTTGAGATGCTTCTTACGGAGCCACTCCTTAGTTGCCCTGGCTGTGTGTTTCGGGTCATTGTCATGCTGGAAGAACCAGCCACGACCCATCTTCAATGCTCTTACTGAGGGAAGGAGGTTGTTGGCCAAGATTTCGCGATACATGGCCCCATCCATCCTCCCCTCAATACGGTGCAGTCGTCCTGTCCCCTTTGCAGAAAAGCATCCCCAAAGAATGATGTTTCCACCTCCATGCTTCACGGTTGGGATGGTGTTCTTGGGGTTGTACTCATCCTTCTTCTTCCTCCAAACACGGCGAGTGGAGTTTAGACCAAAAAGCTCTATTTTTGTCTCATCAGACCACATGACCTTCTCCCATTCCTCCTCTGGATCATCCAGATTGTCATTGGCAAACTTCAGACGGGCCTGGACATGCGCTGGCTTGAGCAGGGGGACCTTGCGTGCGCTGCAGGATTTTAATCCATGACGGCGTAGTGTGTTACTAATGGTTTTCTTTGAGACTGTGGTCCCAGCTCTCTTCAGGTCATTGACCAGGTCCTGCCGTGTAGTTCTGGGCTGATCCCTCACCTTCCTCATGATCATTGATGCCCCACGAGGTGAGATCTTGCATGGAGCCCCAGACCGAGGGTGATTGACCATCATCTTGAACTTCTTCCATTTTCTAATAATTGCGCCAACAGTTGTTGCCTTCTCACCAAGCTGCTTGCCTATTGTCCTGTAGCCCATCCCAGCCTTGTGCAGGTCTACAATTTTATCCCTGATGTCCTTACACAGCTCTCTGGTCTTGGCCATTGTGGAGAGGTTGGAGTTTGTTTGAGTGTGTGGACAGGTGTCTTTTATACAGGTAACAAGTTCAAACAGGTACAGTTAATACAGATAATGAGTGGAGAACAGGAGGGCTTCTTAAAGAAAAACGAACAGGTCTGTGAGAGCCGGAATTCTTACTGGTTGGTAGGTGATCAAATACTTATGTCATGCAATAAAATGCAAATTAATTACTTAAAAATCATACAGTGATTTTCTGGATTTTTGTTTTAGATTCCGTCTCTCACAGTTGAAGTGTACCTATGATAAAAACTACAGACCTCTACATGCTTTGTAAGTAGGAAAACCTGCAAAATCGGCAGTGTATCAAATACTTGTTCTCCCCACTGTATATATATATATATATATATTTTTTTTTTACACATATTTAACCCTTTATTTTTGTTGGCACAAAACTACCTCCATACTTCTATTTTTTGTTTGGGTTACCTTCAGACGAGTCCCGTGACACCATCGTGTTTGTGAGAGTCTCCCCTTTCCATAAAGTGGTCATACTAGTTTTTAGGCCAAACCGTTCGGACGCTACAGTTTTCGCGAGAAGAACAATTTGACACTTAGATTACTGTCAAAATGCGACGTGAATGCAGTAGGCGAAGTCAAACGCAGGACACCGAGCTACTGGAAACTTACTTTTACTAACAAAGTAACCAGAGTACAAAACAACCTCCAAACAGGGAGGAGAATACCCGCACAATAGCAACTGCCGAAAAAGACAAGAACAATCACACACAACACACAATGAACGACAGAGGGTTATATAGGGAATACAATATAATAGGAAACAGGTGTACACAATCAAGACAAAACAAGTCAAACACAGAAACATAGATCGGTAGCAGCTAGTACTCCGGAGACGACGAACGCCGAAGCCTGCCCGAGCAAGGAGGAGGAGCAGCCTCGGCTGATTCCTGTCATGATTTAACTGGATTTGAACCCAAATGCAGACAACTACACCAAGCCAGAGAAGGTTTAACAGGTTTATTTACAATGTTCAATAGTCCAGGTTTCCAATAATAGGGGAAGAGCAAGTCCAGGTTACAGGGAGGGTAACAGATCCAGGTCAGGGCAGGTGTGGTACCGTAATGTCCTAGTGTCCGTGGTGAGTCCAAAAGGGAGGTCCGGTAGTGGAAAGCAGGATGGTGGTGGCAGGAGTGAAGCGGAGGCAGGAGTCAGGTTCCAATAATCTGTGGCACAGGAGAAAAGTAAATAGAACAGGCCAAAAACACAAAGAGCGAAAACAAACAGGTTGAGTCGACAGCGAGACTAACATGGTCGTCTTGTCTATGATCTGACGATGAGTGGCAAGTTTGACCGGGTCTTAAAGGCTGAGGTGATTATGGTGAATGAGCTGCAGCTGGAACCCTGACTCCCGCACACCAGACTTCACTCCTGCAATCAAGGACAGACAGAGGGGAGGGGGATAGCAGAAAGAGAGCTACCTAGCAGCAGTAGGCCTAACAGATTCCGTGACAATTACACACAGGTGGACATTATTTAACTAATTATGTGACTTCTGAAGGTAATTGGTTGCACCAGATCTTATTTAGGGGCTTCATAGCAAAGGGGGTGAATACATATGCACGCACCACTTTTCCGTTTATTTTTTTTTTCATTTCACTGAAATCCAAATAAAAATCCATTTAAATTACAGGTTGTAATGCAACAAAATAGGAAAAACGCCAAGGGGGATGAATACTTTTGCAGTGAGGGAAAAAAGTATTTGATCCCCTGCTGATTTTGTATGTTTGCCCACTGACAAAGAAATGATCAGTCTATAATTTTAATGGTAGATTTATTTGAACAGTGAGAGACAGAATAACAACAGAAAAATCCAGAAAAACGCATGTCAAAAATGTTATAAATTGATTTGTATTTTATTGAGGGAAATAAGTATTTGACCCCTCTGCAAAACATGACTTAGTACTTGGTGGCAAAACTCTTGTTGGCAATCACAGAGGTCAGATGTTTCTTGTAGTTGGCCACCAGGTTTGCACACATCTCAGGAGGGATTTTGTCCCATTCCTCTTTGCATATCTTCTCCAAGTCATTAAGGTTTCGAGGCTGACGTTTGGCAACTCGAACCTTCAGCTCCCTCCACAGATTTTCTATGGGATTAAGGTCTGGAGACTGGCTAGGCCACTCCAGGACCTTAATGTGCTTCTTCTTGAGCCACTCCTTTGTTGCCTTGGCCATGTGTTTTGGGTCATAGTCGTGCTGGAATACCCATCCACGACCCATTTTCAATGCCCTGGCTGAGGGAAGGAGGTTCTCACCCAAGGTTTGACGGTACATGGCCCCGTCCATCGTCCCTTTGATGCGGTTGTCCTGTCACCTTAGCAGAAAAACACCCCCAAAGCATAATGTTTCCACCTCCATGTTTGACGGTGGGGATGGGGTTCTTGGGGTCATAGGCAGCATTCCTCCTCCTCCAAACACGGTGAGTTGAGTTGATGCCAAAGAGCTCGATTTTGGTCTCATCTGACCACAACACTTTCACCCAGTTCTCCTCTGAATCATTCAGATGTTCATTGGCAAACTTCAGCCGGCCCTGTATATGTGCTTTCTTGAGCAGGGGGACCATGCGGGCACTGCAGGATTTCAGTCCTTCACGGCGTAGTGTGTTACCAATTGTTTTCTTTGTGACTATGGTCCCAGCTGCCTTGAGATCATTGACAAGATCCTCCCGTGTAGTTCTGGGCTGATTCCTCACCGTTCTCATGATCATTGCAACTCCACGAGGTGAGATCTTGCATGGAGCCCCAGGCAGAGGGAGATTGACAGTTATTTTGTGTTTCTTCCATTGGCGAATAATCGCACCAACTGTTGTCACCTTCTCACCAAGCTGCTTGGCGATGGTCTTGTAGCCCATTCCAGCCTTGTGTAGGTCTACAATCTTGTCCCTGACATCCTTGGAGAGCTCTTTGGTCTTGGCCATGGTGGAGAGTTTGGAATCTGATTGATTGATTGCTTCTGTGGACAGGTGTCTTTTATACATGTAACAAACTGAGATTAGGAGCACTCCCTTTAAGAGTGTGCTCCTAATCTCAGCTCGTTACCTTTATAAAAGACACCTGGGAGCCAGAAATCTTTCTGATTGAGAGGGGGTCAAATACTTATTTCCCTCATTAAAATGCAAATCAATTTATAACATTTCTAACATGTGTTTTTCTGGATTTTTTTTGTTGTTATTCTGTCTCTCACTGTTCAAATAAACCTACCATTAAAATTATAGACTGATAATTTCTTTGTCAGTGGGGAAACGTACAAAATCAGCAGGGAATCAAATACGCCACTATGCATTATGTGGGTTGAATGCTGTAACAACACAAAATATTATTTTTAATAAAGTCCCATGATGGCTTGTCACTTATTAACCATAATTTATTCACATTACTTTACTTTAATAAAATATTTGTTTTATTTAATGACTTACCATTTTTAACCATTTCGTGTGTCTGCAGGTAGAACTCTGCATACCCGGCAGGCCCAGAGAGCAAATCAAGTGCAGCTATACGCCTACCGCTGACCAATCAGATAGCTCAGATTACCGTGTCTGCACAGTTTCATCGAGCCATAGGCTGTAAAAACAAGCCTCGAGTGGACAGCAAAGTTGATACAGTGAGATTTCAACACTTTTAAAACCCTTACTAGAGAGAGACTCAATTAATACAGCAAAGAGCTGCTGTATTTATAAGTTCATGTTTAAGTTGTTATTCAGCACTGTCAATACTTTCTTCAACACTTTTATACAGTAAGCCATAAAATGCGCGTTCTCCCTACTTCCATTCACACTACAACCAGCACTGTAGGTGCAATGAATGAGTATAGCAAATCTTCAAAGTGGTAGGCATGTTGTGTAAATCAAATGATACAAACCCCCCAAAAAACAAATGATACAAACCCCCAGTTTTAATTCCAGGTTGTAAGGCGACAAAATAGGAAAAATGCCAAGGGGGGTGAATACTTTCGCAAGCCACTGTATTGTGTAAAAAAAATGATCGAAACCGAAATCAAAAACAGTGATCATTTTTCTCCATCGAACTGAAACCGAACCGACCTCAAAAAGCACTAATAGATCAGCACTAGTGTGTGTCCCCGGGTGTATCAGAGTGCCAGTGAGATGTGGAGAGAAACAGCAAACAGTGTGTGCTGTAGGATTGAGGGAGCATGGAGGAGGCCAAATCAACGGATGGTGTGTATGCACGGGCACTGTCAGCCAGTGTTAAGAGTGAGTGTCCAGCAAGGAGAATTAGCATGAGCCCAGTACTTCTGTGACATACTGCCTCTCCCATAAGCCTGTCATGATGCAGATCACACACACACACACACACACAAACACACACACACAGAAAGACTACCTCAATCTCACACACTCATCCCCCAACACACATCAAATTAAATAAAATTGTATTTGTTACATGCGCCGAATACAACAGGTGTAGACCTTACAGTGAAATCATGACTTACACGCCCTTAACCAACAACGCAGTTTTAAGAAAAATAAGTGTTAAGTAAAAAATTGATAACTAAAAAATAATTAGAGCAGCAGTAAAATAACAGTAGGGAGGTTATATACAGGGGGTACCGGTACAGAGTCAATGTGCGGGGACACAGGTTAGTCGAGGTAATTGAGGTAATATGTACATGTAGGTAGAGTTAAAGTGACTATGCATATATAATAAACAGAGAGTATCAGCAGCAAATAGTCTGGGTAGCCATTTGATTAGCTGTTCAGGAATCTTATGGCTTGGGGGTAGAAGCTGTTAAGAAGCCTTTTGGACCTAAATTTGGTGCTCCGTTACTGCTTGCCGTGCGGTAGCAGAGAGAACAGTCTATGACTAGGGTGGCTGGAGTCTTTGACAATTCTTAGGGCCTTCCTCTGACACTGCCTGGTATAGAGGTCCTGGATGCCAGGAAGCTTGGCCTCGGTGATGTACTGGGCCGTACGCACTAACCTCTGTAGTGCCTTGGGTCGGAGGCCGAGCAGTTGCCATTCCAGGCAGTGATGCATCAGTCAGGATGCTCTCGATGGTGCAGCTGTATAACTTTTTGAGGATCTGAGGACCCATGCCAAATCTTTTCAGTCTCCTGAGGGGGAATAGGCTTTGTCGTGCCCTCTTCACGACTGTCTTGGTGTGTTTGGACCATGATAGTTTGTTGGTGATGTGGACACCAAGGAACTTGAAGCTCTCAACCTGCTCCACTACAGCCCCGTCGATGAGAATGGGGGCGTGCTCGGTCCTCTTTTTCCTGCAGTCCACAATCATCTCCTTTGTCTTGATCACGTTGAGGGAGAGGTTGTTATCTTGGCACCACACGGCCAAGTCTCTGACCTCCTTCCAATAGGCTGTCTCATCGTTGTCGGTGATCAGGCCTACCACTGTTGGGTCGTCGGCAAACTTAATGATGGTGTTGGAGTCGTGCCTGGCCATGAAGTCATGGGTGAGCAGGGAGTTCAGGAGGGGACTGAGCACGCACCCCTGATGGGCCCCCGTGTTGAGGATCAGCATGGCAGATGTGTTGTTACCTACCCTTACCACCTGGGGGCGGCCCGTCAGGAAGTCCAGGATCCAGTTGCAGAGGGAGGTGTTTAGTCCCAGGGACCTTAGCTTAGTGATGAACTTTGAGGGCACTATGGTGTTGAACGCTGTGCTGTAGTCAATGAATAGCATTCTCACGTAGGTGTTCCTTTTGTCCAGGTGGGAAAGGGCAGTGTAGAGTGCAATAGATATTGCATCATCTGTGGATCTGTTGGGGCGCTAAGAAGCTAAGAATCAAAGAGCAACTGAAGTACTCTACTCCAAACCATGTTCAAACCAATTTTTCTCAATGAGATGATTAATCCCCACTTGGAATCCTGGAATCCTGTTAGATAGGACCTTTAACGTCGCTGTGGCTGTCCCATATTGAACCAAATTATAGTGCCAGTGCACCACAGATTATAGTAAACTCCCATGTGGACCTCTTCAACATCATGCAAGGCAAGCCACACGGTGACCACACAGCAAGGCAAGCCACAAGGTGACGCACCCTAAATGGGATCAGGAGGGTAAGGTCTGATTTCTGTGTCTAGAAAGGCACTGATTTAGGTTAAATCCATTGATTTCAGTTTTTATAAAATAATACTCAGAGCTTTTTAATGTTTGGTGTCCATATTAGGACACTCTATTCTCCACAGCAATACTGTAATTCTGTGTTAACTTGCTCGGCGAATACCAGTCTCCTGTCATAGGACTTGGCTGTGTTGTCTTATTGTTAAATGTTTTCTGATTGGCCAAGGCCTTTGCTCTGGTGCCAGGGGGAGATATTTTGGGCCCTCTGATTGGCTGCGATACCTCAAGGAAGCTCTGTGCATCCAATAGCAGTGTTACCTCCAGGATCCAGCAGCTTGGGGCTAGAGAGGCAGGGGAGATTAGAAGATTCTGGAGCATAGTAGTGCAGCGCTGTAGCAGCAGTACAACATGGCTGGCCTATATATAGGCCTGGCACTGCCTGCATCCTGAGACTGACAGCACAGCACAGCACAGAGAGGATCCAGGTTAGAAGAGTGTAGTGGTGTAGTGGTGTAGCAGCAGTACAACATGGCTGGCCTATATATAGGCCTGGCACTGCCTGCATCCTGAGACTCACAGCACAGCACAGCACAGCACAGAGAGGATCCAGGTTAGAAGAGTGTAGTGGTGTAGTGGTGTAGCAGCAGTATAGCACAGCATGGCTGGCCTATATATAGGCCTGGCACTGCCTGCATCCTGAGACTCACAGCACAGCACAGCACAGAGAGGATCCAGGTTAGAAGAGTGTAGTGGTGTAGTGGTGTAGCAGCAGTACAACATGGCTGGCCTATATATAGGCCTGGCACTGCCTGCATCCTGAGACTGACAGCACAGCACAGCACAGAGAGGATCCAGGTTAGAAGAGTGTAGTGGTGTAGTGGTGTAGCAGCAGTATAGCACAACATGGCTGGCCTATATATAGGCCTGGCACTGCCTGCATCCTGAGACTGACAGCACAGCACAGCACATATAGGATCCAGGTTAGAAGAGTGTAGTGGTGTAGTGGTGTAGCAGCAGTATAGCACAGCATGGCTGGCCTATATATAGGCCTGGCACTGCCTGCATCCTGAGACTCACAGCACAGCACAATGAGGATCCAGGTTAGAAGAGTGTAGTGGTGTAGTGGTGTAGCAGCAGTACAACATGGCTGGCCTATATATAGGCCTGGCACTGCCTGCATCCTGAGACTGACAGCACAGCACAGAGAGGATCCAGGTTAGAAGAGTGTAGTGGTGTAGTGGTGTAGCAGCAGTATAGCACAGCATGGCTGGCCTATATATAGGCCTGGCACTGCCTGCATCCTGAGACTCACAGCACAGCACAGAGAGTAGCGGGAAAACAACATGCAAACAGGAATAGGAACAAACACATGGCACGGATGATAGTCGAGAGTCGTAGTGTTTACCCACATGGAAAAGATGCATAAAAAATCCTATAAGATTCTTACATTAAATTCTCATATGGCAGACACATATATGATTCATGATAGATTATTGTAATATCTGACTTATAAGACAAATGGCAGAACATACACATTTGCTATTTAAGCTTCATAAATAATTTTCATATGAGCACACACACACACGTACACATGTATGCACATACAAACAAACACACACACACACACACTATAAAACATTTGTAGTTGAGTCAACTTAAAAAATCAAGGCAACTAGCTGCAATATTTCATGTCCTTTCAACTTAAAGATGAAAGGATATTATCAGCTGAACTATACATTTTAAGTTGGATGTACAATATGGAAATCATTTTGTTATTGACAGATGGCTGCTATATTTATTTTTATTTTGGTTGAGACAGGTTGGTTTGGGTTGAGAGGGACTGACCCAGATTCTTCCGGATCCCCACCTCAAGTGTAGCTTCTTAAAGTAATACCTCAATAAATGTTAATCTTCAGTTCTGTTACAAATGTCTCAAATTATCTATGTAAATTCAGAGAGTGACTGCTAAAAAGTATTGAATATATCCACCCACGGATTATACCTGTCAAGCTGTCTTCTACCCAGAGACCCTGAGAGATAAATAGAGAGAGACAGGCCATTTAAGAAAGAACAAAAAGAGTGAGAGAGCATTGTCAGAGGGAGAAAGATAGACAGTGTTGAGAATAGAGGAAGAGACACAAAGAGAGAGGGAGGCAGTGTGTGTGTGTGTGTGTGTGTGTGTGTGTGTGTGTGTGTGTGTGTGTGTGTGTGTGTGTGTGTGTGTGTGTGTGTGTGTGTGTGTGTGTGTGTGTGTGTGTGTGTGTGTGTGTGTGTGAGTGTGTGTGTGTGCATGCGTCTGTGTGTGTGTGTTCGGTGTATCAGAGAGCCAGGGAGATGTGGAGAGAGAAAACAGACAGCATTTGTATTTGTATTTATAATGGATCCCCGTTAGCTGCTGCTCTTTCTGGGGTCCAGCAAAATTAAGACAGTTATATAAAAAAATGTAAACATTACAATACATTTCACAACCGATTTCACAACACATTAAGTGTGTGCCCTCAGGCCACTACTCTACTACCACATATCTACAACACAAAATCCATGTGTACGTGTGTGTATAGTGTGTATGTTATCATGTGTGTGCTGTGGGATTGAGGCAGCATGGAGGAGGCAAGACCAACGGGTGGTGTGTGTGCCCAGGCGCTGTCAGCCATTGTTAGGAGTGTGTGTCCAGCAAGGGGAATTAGCATGATCCCAGAACTTCTGTGACACACTGCCTCTCCCATACGCCTATCTTGATGCAGATCACACACACACATGCTCCTGACCAATTGTGCTATTTTGTGTGTTATTTCTTTGTGCTGATCTTAACTTTTTTTGTAGATAATGTTGTTTCCTAAGACCAAAAAGAGCTTCTGGACATCAGAACAGCGATCACTATCCTCTGGAATCTGGAAACCCACCGGGTGAAGTGGTCGGGGCTCTTCTCTCTCGCTCCCCGACCACCCCTTTAGCCCCCCCCAAAAACATTTATTGGGGCTGGTTCTCGGGCTTCCTCCTCGGCCGGCTTCTGTGTTGCCGTTGCTCCTCTCCTGCCTGGGCTTCCTTCTTTGCCCAGGGTCCTTTTCCCGCAAATATCTCCTCCTAAGACCAAATCTTCCCCACCTGTGTCCAGGGTGTTTGCTCCTGGGCACGCTGCTTGGTCCGTGTTTGGTGGGATCTTCTGTCACGTTCGTTTAAGGACGGGTCAGACCAAGGCGCAGCGTGAAATGCGTACATGTTTATTTAACTGATAAACACACGACAAAACAATAAACAAACAAAACGTGAAGTCCTAAGGTTGAACACACAACAAACCTATACACGGAACAAGATCCCACAACTAACGAGTGCCAATAGGCTGCCTAAGTATGATCCCCAATCAGAGACAACAAGCGACAGCTGTCTCTGATTGGGAATCACACCCGGCCAAACATAGACATACAATCCTAGAATGACAACTTAGAAAACACAACATAGAACACCACACCCTGACTCAACATACCAGAGTCCCATAAGTCAGGGCGTGACAATAACTCTATCCTCCTGATTTCTGCTTACAAGCAAAAACTCAAACAGGAAGTACCAGTATAAAAACTCAATACGGAAGTGGTCCGATGAAACGGATGCTAAGCTACAGGACTGTTTGGCTAGCACAGACTGTAATATTTTCCGCAATTCATCCGATGGAATCCGATGGAGTTTACCACATTAGTCATCGGCTTCATTAATAAGTGCATCAACGTTGTCGTCCCCACAGCAACCGTATGTACATATCCCAACCAGAAGCCATGGATTACAGACAAATCTGCAACACTGAACCATGCATGAAAGCACCAGCTGTTACGGACGACTGTGTGATCACTTTCTCCGTTGCCGATGTGAGTAAGACCTTTAAACAGGTTAACATTCACAAGGCTGCAGGGCCAGACGGATTACCAGGACGCATACTCAGAGCATGCATTGACCAGTTAGCAAGTGTCTTCACTGACATTTTCAACCTCTCCTTGACCCAGTCTGTAATACCTACATGGTTCAAGCAGACCACCATTGTCCCTGTGCCGAAGAACGCCAAGGTGCTCAATGAACAGCATGCTCAATGAACAGCATTCTCACGTAGGTGTTCCTTTTGTCCAGGTGGGAAAGGGCAGTGTGGAGTGCAATAGAGATTACGTCATCTGTGGAGCTGTTGGAGTGGTATGTTAATTGGAGTGGGTCCAGGGTGTTTGGGATGATGGTGTTGATGTGAGCTGTGACCAGCCTTATAAAGCATTTGATGGCTACAGATTTGAGTGCTACGGGGCGACATGGCAACACTAAAACACTCTCTCTCTCTCTCCCTCTCTCTCTCTCTCTCTCCTGCTCTGGCTGGCCAATGGGCCGTGCTCAAGAAGGTTATTTACGGCTCATACTCTTGCCAGTGAATATAATTGAAAAGCTTTCATCTGCTAGCAAAGCAATTTCCTTAATGCCTTTAGCACACATGATGGATGTGATGAAAGTGGTGGCAAATGGACAGGCTGTGAGCGCAGGGCGCAGGGTATAAAAAGACAGCCCAGCCACCCAGCAGAGGACAGGAACAGAGGGAGGATGACGGGCGGGCGGAGAAAGGAGAAAGCATGAGGAGAATAAGCATGCAGAAATGGACAGTGTAGAAGAGAAGGGATGAACGGAACAGGACACCATGATCTGGCTGGTGTAGGGTGCTAGACCATTCAACCTGAGGAGTTGTACAGAGATAATAGGCCATCTGGCATTGCTATAGCTTCCTCTTGACACAATGTACACAACCTTAGACATCTGCTAAATGTTTGCTAGTATGACCTCCTCCCTTCCTCGCTACACCCCTCTACACCCAACAGTATTCATCTTTACAGTGACACCCTGTGGTCATAACATACTGCAGTACCTGTACATTCCAAAAGACCCCAGGACTCCATAGGGACCTGTGCTTTGTTGATCTGAGAGGTGCCCTGATTGAAGATCTGATCCTTTCTTATCAACATACATTTGTATTTGTATTTCTTTGGGTTGATTTCAAATGTATTTAGTCAGGGAAGTCAAATTAAAACCCTTTTATTTTTATTTTTTTATGACTCCTGCACAACATACAAAATAAAAAAACACTTACATCAATACAAAATAAATACACTCTTGAAGTAAATACTAACCTTTGCTTAGACAGGGAAGTCATATTGAGAGACCCAGGACTATTTTTCAAATGACCCATGCACAACATATAAAATACAAAACACACACATCAAATACAATGTATACACTAGGGAAGTAAATACAACATACAAAATACACAGAATCAATCAAACAATCATGGCATGTGCAGTCCTCTATGAGCAGGTCTCCAACCAAAGTCTTAAAACAACCATAGGGGAATAGGTTTTCAATTTACCCAGGAGTTCATTCCATGTCTGAGGGGCATATAATCCAAATGCAGTTTTCCCTATTTCTGATGAGGTATGGAGGACATCAAGAACAAGCCAGTTCTGTGAGCATGTCTATGGCTGTGTTTACACAGGAAGCCCAATTCAGATGTTATGCTAATTATTTCCATATCTGACACCTATCTGATCTTTTCACTAATGGGTAAACAGAAGAGAAAAAAACATATGGAATCTAATCTTTTGACTTCAAAAGTATACCACATCCATATATGGATCTCAATCCTGATACAATTCTGATGTTCCATATGTGACCTCAGTCTGGATCAGATGTTTTTGCTGTGAAGTGGCTTTTTTGCAAATGATCTGCCACTACTACAGCAAGCACCCAAGATTTAAAGGAACAGTGACAGGAAATGAGCATTCCATCTGTATGCTACTTCAGAGGCTACATCAGTGTGAATGCGCAAATCTGATATGGGTCACATGTAAAACTGAGTGTGGACAGTCATAAATAAAGATTGGATATGAAACAAAAATCTGAATTAGGTTCTTAGTGTGGCTGTATAAACACAGGTGGTATGTCTCCAATTAAGAAGGGATGTGAGATAGGTAGCCCAATTCTGATCTTTTCCCAGTTATTGGTCTTTTGACAGCTCTTTCTACAATAATTGGGGAAAAGATCAGAATTGGGCTGCCTGTGTAAACGCAGCCACAGGGAGTTTCTGTAAAACTGCCTTATACAGAAATGGAAACCAGGCGAGCCTAGATTTTTATATAAAATACAATAGTGGGTGCGAAACCAGTAATAACAGGAAGGGCACTATGGTACACTGAGTCCAGAGGTTTTAGTGTAGTGGTGGCAACATGCATGTATATTGCCTTTTCAAAACAACCCTCTCCCTCCCAGGTGAGGCCAAGACCAGGAGCCACAGTACAGAACCTCTGTCCAGGCACGAGAGCAAAGCTCACCACGGAGGCAGCCAGGAGTCTCCCAAATCCCAGGAGTGGGATGGGCCCTCCGGACATTCATCCACCCCCACTGCCACGCCCAGCCGCCTGGGACGCTCTTCTGTCAGCCCCACCATGATGCTGGGGAGTGGGGGCACAGGTGAGGTCCTCTGCCTGGAGTTACACACAATTTGTTTTTAATGACAGAAATGAAATGTTTCGATATTGATTGGTTTTGAATGAAGTGGAAATAGTGAAATATTATTTGTCTTCCAATGTTGGAGCCTATAGTGTTCGATTGGTAAGCGCTAATAGTTTAGAAGACACATGTCTACAAAATGTATTGGTATGACATCCAAGAATTATAAGTGGGCTATATGGGTGCACGTCTTTTTAAACAGAAAAAAATGCATAATGTCAAGGTAGGATAAATTATTCAGATATGATGAAAGAAATTAATGTTACATCATAAAATTATAATGTGTACAGAATGTGGCTCATATTCCTTGATACAGTGGATTCAGAAAGCATTCAGACCCGTTGACTTTTTCCATATTTTGTTACGTTACAGCCTTATTCTAAAATTGATTAAATTGTTTAATGACAAATAATGACAAAGCAAAAATACATTTTTGCTAATTAAAAATGAATAAAAAACAAAAATTGACATAAGTACTTAGACCCTCTACTCAGTATTTTTTGAAGAACCTTTGGCAGCGATTACAGCCTTGAGTCTTCTTGGGTATGACGCTACAAGCATGGTACACCTGTATTTGGGGAGTTTCTCCAATTCTTCTCTGTAGATCCTCTCAAGCTCTGTCAGGTTGGATGGGGAGTGTCACTGCACAGCAATTTTCAGGTCTCTCCAGAGATGTTTGATCGGGTTCAAGTCCAGGCTCTGGCTGGGCCACTCAAGGACATTCAGAGACTTGTCCCGAAGCCACTCATGCGTTGTCTTGGCTGTGTGCTTAGGGTCGTTGTCCTGTCGGAAGGTGAACCTTCACCCCAGTCTGAGGTCCTGAGCGCTCTGGAGCAGGTTTTCATCAAGGATCTCTCTGTGCTTTGCTCCCTCCCAGTCCCTGCCACTGAAAAACATCCCCACAGCATGATGCTGCCACCACCATGCTTCACTGTAGGGTTGGTGCCAGGTTTCTTCCAGACATGACGCTTGGCATTCAGGCCAAATATTTCAATCTTGGTTTCATCAGACCAGAAAATCTTGTTTCTCATGGTCTGAGAGTCTTTAGGTGCCTTTTGGCAAACTCCAAGCGGGCCGTCATATGCCTTTTACTGAGGAGTGGCTTCCATCTGGCCACTCTACCATAAAGGCCTGATTGGTGGAGTGCTGCCAAGATGGTTGTCCTTCTGGAAGGTTCTCCCGGTTCATAGTCACCTCCGTGGCCAAGGCCCTTCTCCCCCGATTGCTCAGTTGGGCCGGGCGGCCAGCTCTAGGAAGATTCTTGGTGGTTCCAAAATTCTTCGATTGAAGAATGATGGAGGCCACTGAGTTCTTGGGGACCTTCAATGCTGCAGAAATGTTATGGTACCTTTCCCCAGATCTGTTCCTCGACACAATCCTGTCTCGGAGCTCTACCGACAATTCCTTCGACCTCATGGCTTGGTTTTTGCTCTGACATGCATTGTCAACTGTGGGACCTTATATAGACAGGTGTGTCAATCAATTGAATTTACCACAGGTGGAACATTTCTAAAAACCTGTTTTCGCTTTGTTATTATGGGGTATTGTGTGTAGATTGATGAGGATATATTTTTTTTTAATCCATTTTAGAATAAGGCTGTAACGTAACAAAATGTGGAAAAAGTCAAAGTGTCTGAATACTTTCCGAATGCACTGTAAATTAAGATTGATCTCTTCTTGAATTAACTCCTGAGTTGGTTCAAGTCAAATGCAACTGAAATGTAACTTCTGTGACCACTATGCAATTCTGACATTCAGTGCAACTGAGATTAAGTTAATAAACGCAGGTACTGAGGACAGAGCAGTCAAGGTTAGCTAACCGATAGAATTGGGTTTAAGTATTTGGGTTTTAACTCCTATTGAAGGCTAAAGCACAGCTAACGAAGCACAGGGCAAATGTGCCTATATGTCCTGACAACAATATAGGTCCTTACAACACTTAGGTCCTCACAACATCCCTCGCAACAACGTACTGTACATCCTAACTGACTGAGCATGTCTCCCTACAGAATCTAAAGCGGTGTGTAAGCTGGGCCGGTCAGCCTCTACATCGGGGGTTCCTTCCCCGTGCGGGACGCCCCAGCACCAGCCCTCCGAGCCTCAGCCAGGCTATAGTCAGGTACCGCCGCATACCACCACAGAATAAGAGAGCGAGCTAGAAAGAAAGTGTGTGTGAGCCCGTGTGGGGCCTTTGTCTCCGCCTCTCTGTGTTCACCTGTGTGTCGGCTGTCTGACCCCATCCCCAAATCGTCTGTTCCTCAACGCGTCCCCCGTCCCCCCGTCACCTGTCCCCCCACTCTGTAGCTAGACCCTTGTTTTGTCTCGTTCTGTATTGCATTTATCCAGGGGCACTCTGCTCATTTGTGTTTTGTGTTTGTGGAGACATCTTTCTTCATCCTGTGGTATTTCAAGTTGATGGGTATACTCATATATACAGACATTTAACCTCAGTGATATAATCATCTGTTTCCATCTCAGGACGAGGAGCCAGGGGAAGCTTTCTCCCTCCCTCCTCCTTTTACTTTTACCACTATACCTACCTGACCCTACTTCATTTAGCTGGCCCTTACATTTAGCTGGCACTTCCCTTTGTACGCTAAATAAAACTTCCAATTTACTGGAACCGTACCACTGTACTTTGACCTTACCTCCACCTGTGCCTTTAGCTGGCCCGTAACCTGGACTTGATCTGGTCGATAACTGGCACCTTCAATTGCCCCTTTTCTTTTACCTCTATGACCATCCATGCGATAACCTGACCCTTTGATCTATACATTGACCAGCACTTTGACCTATACCTTGCATTTTAACTGTTCTAACTGTCTTTTCCCGTGCTTTTAACTGCTTTTCTCCCTAGCAGCACTGTCAGTTCCCAAGATATGCAGTTTCTCCTCTTCCCTTCTAAAAATGACCAAACGTGACTAATTTCATGTTTGATGTATGTATATACAGTGCTGTGAAAAATGATTTGCCCCCTTTATGATTTTCTCTATTTTTGATACTGAATGCTATCAGTTCTTCAACCTAAACCTAATATTAGATTAACATTTTAGTCATTTAGCAGACGCTCTTATCCAGAGCGACTTACAGTTAGTGAGTGCGTACATTTTTCATACTGGCCCCCCATGGGAATCAAACCCACAACCCTGGCGTTGCAAGCGCCATGCTCTACCAACTGAGCTACAGGAGGCCTTAGATAAAGGGAACCTGAGTTTACAAATAACAAAAAAACAATATATTAATTTTCTTTCTTTAATTAACAAACACCCAATTCCCATGTGTGAAAAAGTAATTGCCCCCTTACACTCAATAACTGGTTGTGCCACCTTTTGGTGCAATGACTGTAATCAAAATCAAAACCTTCCTGTAATTGTTGATTGTTGATCAGTCTCTCACATCACTGTGGAGGAATGCAGTGTTTGGTTTTCGCCAGACATAATGGGACCCATCTCGTCCAAAAAGTTGACAAAAGTTTGCCAAGCACCTGGATGATCAAGACTCTTGGAAGAATGTTCCATGGACAGATGAGTCAAAAGTATAACTTTTTGGACGACATGGGTCCCATTATGCCTGGCGAAAACCAAACACTCCACAGTAAGAACCTTATACCAACGTTCCAGCACGGTGGTGGTGGTGTGATGGTTTGGGGATGCTTTGCTGCCTCAGGACCTGTACGACTTGCCTTAATAGAAGAAACCATTAATTCTGCTCTGTATCAGAGAATTCTACAGGAGAATGTCAGGCCATACGTATGTGAGCTGAAGCTGAAGCGCAGCTGACCATGATCCAAAACACACAATCAAGTCTACATGAAAATGGTTAAAAAGCAACACATTTGAAGTTTTGGAATGGCCTAGTTAAAGTCCAGACCTAATCCCAATTGAGATGTTGTGGCAGGACTTGAAACGAGCAGTTCATGCTTGGAAACCCACAAATGTAGCTGAGTTAAAGCAGTTCTGCATGCAAGAGTGGGCCAAAATTCCTCCACAGCGATGTGAGAGACTGATCAACAACTACAGGAAGCATTTGGTTGCAGTCATTGCAGCTAAAGGTGGCACAACCAGTTATTGAGTGTAAGGGGGCAATAACTTTTTCACACAGGGGAATTGGGTGTTGCATAACTTTGTTTATCAAATAAATGAAATAATTATGTAATTGTTGTGTTATTTGTTCACTCAGGTTCACTTTATCTGATATTAGGTTTGGGTTGAAGATCTGATAACAAAATATAATAACAAATATGCCAAAATTGAGAAAATCAGAAAGGGGGCAAATACTTTCTCACGGCACACAACATATGTGGAATTTTTATTGAGAGCACTTTGTGTTTGTGTATGCTGTTGTTTATGGAACAAGTTTTTTTTTTCTTCTTATATCTCTTCATGAGTGATCAACCATGCTTGAACATGTCACATTGATGTATACATACGTATCTCTCTACACACAACACACACACAACAAGCACGCACGCACGCACGCACGCACGCACGCACGCACGCACGCACGCACGCACACACACACACACACACACACACACACACACACACACACACACACACACACACACACACACACACACACACACACACACACACTATGACAGGTCACCCAACCATTTGCACGACTCAGAACTAAGCTACCCAGCCTTCTTCATTGTCACTCCGCAGTTCTTAGAAAAAGTAGTCTAACTAAAAACAGAAGGCCTATCCTACTGAAAGTAATCCAATCAAAACAGAAGCCAAGAAAATAAAACCTTGTAAAATCCTTCTGTCATTCCTCCATTTCCGTGTCATTTTTGTGTCTGTGTCCTTGTCTATCTATTCTGAGAAAAAGCATTTGTTGTTATGTGTGTTTTCAAATGAATGTCTCTCTGTGTGAATGTTTGTGTATTTGTGTGTATGCACATGCAGTGGGCCATGCTTCACAATTAGATAAGTCTGCTTAAACTTGCTATCTGAATAATTGAATATTTGATTACCGTAATGTCTACACTTGAATTTAGTGTTATATAAAGCCTTGGTCAATGATGACACTGGGTTTTACTGTTAATGGAAAGCAGGACAGTCTTATACACATCAATACGTCATATAGTGTTATACACACCTAGACTACGTAGGCTACCCACAATATAGACCTGCCGTTTTCAGACAAAATCAACACACACTTCACAACCAACACATTATTTACATTTTAGTCATTTAGCAGACGCTCTTATCCAGTGCATACATTTTTCATACTGGTCCCCCGTGGGAATCGAACCCACAACCCTGGCGTTGCAAGCGCCATGCTCTACCAATTGAGCTACACAGGACTGAGTAGCACTCACTACCAACTATTTTCTACTTCTGTCTATAACATACACCTAGACCATTGGTTCCCAAACTTTTTTTAACCGTGGCACACCTTGACGGGAGAAAAAGTTCTGTGGCACACCTAAACTTTTCCTAATAATTTATTTAGTGGCAATGACGTCCATCTCATCTGATTCATGCTGCAAATAATCCATTTTCTGTGACATTTGTTTTTCTTCATAGTTTAAATAGGGTTTATTTTAACTATTTTCATAGTTCCGTACTCATGTTTAATTTATGTGTACCCATTTAAAAGCGTCCTGCAAATCTCCTATAGAAAGAAAAACTGGTAGCTCCGGTGAAATAGGTCTTACTTTTGAACGGAAAGGTCTAGAGATGAGAGGTTTTTGGCATTGTAAAGGTGCAACCACAGACCCAAAGCCATGCTCCATTTGTTTCTTTGGCAGAGGCTGTGGTACTGCTAAGCATTGTCAGACTTGCCTGTGCTAATGGTTCTCACAGGAGAAGTAAAATGATACAAATGACTATGCTCGTTGTGCGCCCCTCAAATTATACAAATGTAACAACAGCTCCAGCGCACTGGACTTGAAACAACGATACAGATGTAACCATGTGTGTCATTCAATGTATTATCTGAGTGGCACTGGTGCTCCCAAGTCAAAATCCCATGTTCATTCCACAGGTCACGTTTAGAGCGTTCCAAAAAATTATCAAAATTAGGAAAAGTTTCACGGCACACCTGAGAGTTCCTCAAGGCACACCAGTGTGCCGCGGTACACCGGTTAAAAACCACTGACCTAGACTACTCACAATTTGTACTCTTTCCAGACACCAACAACACACACTTCACAACACATACATCTATCATACAAATACAGTGCCTAGTGAAAGTCTGCTCACCCCTTCCACTGTTGTCACATTTTGCTGCCTTAAAATTAAATCTAAAAAGGGATTCAATTACATTTTTCCCACTACAAATCTACACAACCTGCTTCACATTTTAAAAGTAAAATAACATGTATAGAGCATTTTGTAAATGAATAAAATAGAAAAACTAAGATGTCTTGATTGCGTATGTCTTCACACCCCAGAGTTAATACTTGGTCTAAGGACCTTTGGCAACAATTACACCTGTAACTAATGTTGAATAAGATTTCACCAACTCTTAGTATACAAAACATTAGGAACACCTGCTCTTTCCATGACATAGACTGACCAGGTGAATCCAGGTGAAAGCTATGATCCCTTATTGATGTCACTTGTTAAATCTACTTCAGTGTAGATTAATGGGTATGTGTGCCTTGAGACAACTGAGACATGGATTGGGTTTGTGTGCCATTCAGCGGGTGAATGGGCAAGACAAAATATTTAAGTGCCTTTGAACGGGGTATGGTAGAAGGTGCCAGGTGCACCAGTTTGAGTGTGTCAAGAACTGTAACGCTGATGGGTTTTTCATGCTCAACAGTTTGCCTTGTGCATCAAGAATGGTCCACCACCCAAAGGACATCCAGCCAACTTGACACAACTGTGGGAAGCATTGGAGTCGACATGGGCCAGAATCCCTGTGGAACGCTTTCGACACCTTGTAGAGTCAGGCCCCAACGAATTTAGGCTGTTCTGGGGGCAAAAAGGGGTGCAACTCAATATTAGGAAGGTGTTCCTAATGTTTTGTAGACTCATCCATTGTTTGTTGTCAAAATTGTTGAAGCTCAGTAAATATGTTTGGGAATCATTATTGGACAGCAATATTCAAACCTTTTTAAGCAGTTTTAATGTCAGGACTGAGAATGGACCCTTCAAGAACACTCAACAACTCTTGGAAAGCCATTCCGGTATCTTTGGCATAAACATTTGTGTAATTGTCCCACTGAAAAAATACAACTCTATTCCAGAGTTCAGAACATCTATTTAGAAGACTGAGGCAGGTTTTCCTCTAGCTTTTTACCTGGGCTTTGCTCCTTTCATATTCTTTTGATCCTTACAAACTCCACAGCCCCTGCCGGTGACAAGCATACCCATAACATAATGCTGCCACCACAATACTTGAAAATACAAAGGGATCAACAATATTACATTCCCTCCACATTACTGACCTGTATGACAACGTGAAAAGAAGGAAGCCTGTATTTAAAAAATATATATTTCATCCATTATGTTTGCTAAAAGGCCCTTAGGTAATACTGCAAGACAACATGGCAAATAAATACACTTTTTGGCTTAAAATAAACACTTGGGACATATCCAATTAAACACATCACAGAGTGAAACCCTCTGTATTTTGAAGTAATGTGGTGGCAGCATTATCTTATGTGTATGCTTGTCACCAGCATAGACTGATGAGTTTGTCAGGATCAAAATAAATATATACACTACCGTTCAAAAGTTTGGGGTCACGTAGAAATGTCCTTTCTTTCGAAAAGCAATTTTTTTGTCCATTACAATAACATCAAATTGATCAGAAATACAGTGTAGACATTGTTAATGTTGTAAATGGCTATTGTAGCTGGAAACGGCAGATTTGTAATGGAATATCTACATAGGCGTACAGAGGCCCATTATCAGCAACAATCAGTCCTGTGTTCCAATGGCACTTTGTGTTTGCTAATCTAAGTTTATTATTTTAAAAGACTAATTTATCATTAGAAAACCCTTTTGCAATTATGTTAGCACAGCTGAAAACTGTTGTGCTGATTAAAGAAGCAATAAAACTGACCTTCTTGAGACTAGTTGAGTATCTGGAGCATCAGCAATTGTGGGTTCAATTACAAGATCAAAATGGCCAGAAACAAATAACTTTCTTCTGAAACTCGTCAGTCTATTCTTGTTCTGAGAAATGAAGGCTATGCCATGCGAGAAATTGCCAAGAAACTGAAGATCTCATGCAACGCTGTGTACTACTCCCTTGTATGTATTTTTGCTAATTTATTGAAAATGAAATACAGAAATATCTCAATTACATAAGTATTCACACCCCTGAGTCAATACTTTGTAGAAGCTCCTTTGGCAGCGATTAAAGCTGTGAGTTTTTCTGGGTAAGTTGCTAGAGCTTTCCACACCTGGATTGAGCAACATTTGCCTATTAACTTTTCAAAATTCTGTTAAAATGGATGTTAGTCATTGCTAGACAACCATTTTCATGTCTTGCCATACATTTTCAAGTAGATGCAAGTCAAAACTGTAAATCAGCCACTCAGGAACATTCACTGTCTTCTTGGCAAGCAACTTCAGTGTAGATTTGGCCTTGTGTTTTAGGTTATTGTCCTGCTGAAAGGTGAATTCCTGAACCAGGTTTTCCTCTAGGATTTTGCCTGTGTTTAGCTCCATTCCATTTCTTTTTTATCCTGAAAAACAATTCATTAACAATTACAAGCATACCCATAACATGACGCAGCCACCACTATGCTTGAAAATATGGAGAGTGGTACTCAGTAATGTGTTGTTATGCATTTATATTCAGGACAAAAGGTTAATCGCTTTGCCACATTTCTTTGCAGAATTACTTTAGTGCATTGTTGCAAACATGATGCATGTTTTGGAATATTTTTTTATGTACAGGTTTCCTTCTTTTCACTCTATCAATTAGGTTAGTATTGTGGAGTAACTACAATGTTGATGATCCATCCTCAGTTTTCTCCTATCACATCCATTAAACTCTGTAACTGTTTTAAAGTCACCATTGGCCTCATGGTGAAATCTCTGAGTGAAATTCACTGCTCGACTGAGGGACCTTAAAGATAATTGTATGTGTGGGGTACAGAGATGAAGTAGTCATTAAAAAAATATTGTTAAACACTATTATTGCACACAGGCTGAGTCCATGCAACTTATTATGCGACTTGTTAAGTACATTTATATTCCTGTGTGGCTCAGTTGGTAGAGTATGAAGCTTGCAACGCGAAGGTTGTGGGTTCAATTCCCATGGGGGACCAGTAAGAGAACATGTATGAACTCACTACTGTATGTCGCTCTGGATAAGAGAATCTGCTAAATTATGTAAAATTGTCAAGGTGTCAGTGTAATGCGGTAGGACGAAGTCATTCGCAGGACACAGAGCTACTCGAAAAACGTACTTTACTCGTAGGTATCTTAATGAACATACCTCCACGCAGGGAGGAACAAACCCGCTCACATACGACAAACCAAAACATGGACAAACACGCACAACACACAGTGTGAGCCAGAGGGTTAAATAGGGAAGACATAATTACAAGATGGGAAACAGGTGAGACCATTACAGACAAAACAAGTAGAACATAGAAACATGGATCGGTAGCAGCTAGTACTCCGGTGACGACGAACGCCGAAGCCTGCCCAAGCAAGGAGGAGGGGCAGCCTCGGCTGAATTCGTGACAAAAATGAACGTAACTTATTTAGGTTTGCCATAACAAAGGGGTTGAATACTTATTGACTCAAGACATTTCAGCTTTTCATTTTAAAATGTTTTGATAAACATCATTTCACTTTGACATTATGGGGTATTGTGTTTAGGCCAGTGACAAAAAAAATCTACGTTTAATCAATTTTAAATTAAGGCTGTAACACAAAAAAATGTGGGAAGAAGTCAAGGGGTGTGAGTACTTTCTGAAGGCACTGTATGCAATCAGTACATCTATGTTTTTGCATTTGTTATTAATCTAGACATTTTTTTCTATACTTTTTCTTCACTTTGAACATGTGGATCAGGTTAATTTAAATCCCTTTTTAAAATGTGATAGCTGTGCAAGGGGTGTGCAGACTTTCACTAGGCACTGCACATATTATTCACTGAGTTTATTACACTCAACTTACTTTGCCAGTAAGATTGCACATGTCTGTTGATAGAGACGAATTACACTCATAGTCTCTCTCTTCGAATGCTACTGTCTGTCTATGGCAACACCAACATTCTGGGCAACCCCCCCTCATACCCTCTGTCCCCCACCCCTCCTCACCCCAGATGATCCCTCCCATGCCGTGGGCTTGCGGAGACAACACCATGATGGAGATGATTGAGAAGAAGCGCAGCCTGTGTCGGGAGATCAAGGCCCGCCGGGGGCCAGCAGACAACAACCTGTGTAAGCAGGACAGCATGCCCATCTTGCCCAGCTGGAGGAAGAGCAGCAATGGGACCAAGAAGTATGGCGGCCCTCCCCCTTACTCCACACAGACCACTGTCTTCTGGGACACAGCTATCTGACAGGAGTGATCCACCCTGTCCTGGGCCTTGTTCAAACAGAAGAAAACGGACTGAAACAGGACTTGACCAGTAAGTCCAGGACTACATGGACTTGACCAGTAAGAAACCCTAATTTTCGTTTTCCGTTGCAAAACATTTTAAAACGTTTCTGCTGAGTGCCCTAATGAACACAACCCTGTCCTCAGACTCTCAGACTCTCCCTTCCTTTCACAAGCCAGAGATGGGCATTGAGCTGGTGGCCAATCAGAGCACAGGGAGACATGGGTTCCCCCCCCACTCTGTTGTAGCAATTCAAATATCTGGTATATCTCCCTGGTTTTGTATTGCTAATTTATATTTTTTTAAAATTGTATCTCAGTAATTGTCTTAATATTGAATATGCTTAGATATTTTCTAAAGATAAAAAAATGGAAAATAATTAGGAAATTTTAGTCTACAGTTGTTAAATGGTTTCTCAAACCTTGTTTTGGATATTTGGTATGTTGCGATGACACTTGTCTGTGCTTTGGAGAAAATAATATGTTGCCAATACGTTGAGCCAATTTAGTAAGAACACCATGGTTTTTATATACAAAAAAATCTAAAGGATAAATGTTCTTGTCATGATGAAAAAGCACTAATTTTAAATGGAATATATTTTGGCATCTTGAATTTAGATGTTGTTGTATTGGAATGCTGTTGTGAACCATTTGAATTATCCACACTGTAGGTTTGGCCTACAGTGTCCACACTGTAGGTCTGCCCTAACAATCACTATGACCATGACCCAATACTTAGGGCAATTCTGCCATATCATATAGTGCCAGGACCTAAAGTAATATGATAGCACCTACGGGCAAATCCTATCAAATCAGTGGTCCCACAAAGAGACGAGGATAACACTTTACTTGACACCCAGCATCATAACACGTTATGACACGGTCATAACCATGTCATAATATGTCATATCAACTGACATAACTTGTCATAACCTGTCATAATATGGTCATAACACTGTCATGACACATATATTTAGAACTGTTGTGACATATATTGCATTATTTTATGGCTGGTTATGACACCTACATAAGTGTCAAAACCCACAAAACCTATCACGGTAGTTATTTTATGGCTGGATATGACACCCACATAAGAGTGTCAAAACCCACAAAACCTACCACACAAGGCGAAACATTCCATTATACCATGGCCTACTTGTCAACGATATGTTTATGTTATATAACATTTTCTGAAATTGACCATATTAAATTATCATTGTAATTGCTCACAAATTGATGTCAGACACGCACCACAATGCCCTGTTGCTGATGACTGGGATGAATGCACGCAAAGATTTAAGGAGCAGGACAAGACACCTTTTTGACTGATTACTGACAAAAGGGCATGTATGTGATAGGCCTATCTGGCTTATATGATTATGATGGGCATAATACTTCTTGACAGTGTCATAAAGTGTATTTTCTTAGTCCAAGTAAAGTCACACAGGATGGTCATAATGCTTCATGACAGTGTCATAAAGTGTATTTTCTGCAAGTTATTTAACATATGATGAAAAACAACATGACTGTAAATAATTAATTACAACAACAACAACAAAGCACTTAAGGATCTACAGTGGCCCAAAAACTACACTACCCATGAGTCTCTACACCACACTACCTACACGTCTCATCACTGTCAATCAGTCTATCAGTGAGCTGTCTGACATCAGCCCCTGGTTGAAGTTACCCTTAAGTTACCCTTGAACACAGATCTAGGATCAGCTTACCCTACAAAAATCCTAAACTTAACCATTTAAGGGGGAAAAGACACAACTGCCCTTAGGTCACTGTCTAGTGACAACTTCATCTTGCTCCCTGACATCAGCCAAACTGGCCTGTAAAGTTCTAACACTACACATCTGCTGGGTAAGAAATGTACACTTGGAGCACACATGAGACATGCAGACTGCTCAGGGGAGCTTTGGCTGTGGCCTATGGAGGGGCCAGCAAGGCTTGCTATCTCCTTACTCTTCGTCTCTATTTTCTTTTATCTTTCTTACTCTGCTTTTCTCTCCATTGCATTTATCCTCAATTGCCCTTGTCACCTCTTTCTGCTCTCTCCGTCCTGTTTTTGATCCTTTCCCCTGAGAATACTGTGTGAGGCACATACACACACAGTATTGACCATGACGTACGCCAGTGTGGAAATCCTTGCCATAAGCATTGCCTTGGAGACCAGGGTTCACTGTGACTCAGAGAGATAGTCGCTTAAGCTCACAGAAATATATATATGATCTATACAGTTATGATTACAGACTAGTGACAAAGTTTTACTTCAGAGAACGGATCTATCTAACCACACAGTAGGCAGGTTTCCATTGACCCAGGTTTATTTGACAAAAGCAATGTCACAACATGTGTATTGGAAACGCCAAATATATAGGAGAGACCTTTTCTTAAGATCAACAACATTTGTATCCGTTCGACAGGGGTGGATTTTTCTTTTGGTGGACATTATGTCACGACCGTCTTCAAAAGGAGCAGACCAAAGCGCAGCGCGTTGAGTGAACATGACTTTATTAGAGTAAAGACACGAACGACAAAAACAATAAACAAAGACGGCTAGTGAAGTCCACAGTTACAAATACTGAATACGGAACAAAAACCCACAACCCACATGAGAACACAGACAGAATAAATATGGCTCCCAATCAGAGATAACGAGCCGACAGCTGACACTCGTTACCTCCGATTGGGAGTCACACGACACCACAATTAACACACCCAAAACACAACCAACCGAATACACCCTTACAACCAACCCCACAACAAATACCCCACAAAACAAATACACCCTGGCTCAAATCCAAAAGTCCCGGAGCCAGAGTGTTACAGTACCCCCCCCTAAAGGTGCGCACTCCGGGCGCACCAGCATACAGTCTCGGGGAGGGTCTGGGTGGGCGTCTGTCCACGGTGGCGGTTCTGGCCCTGGTCGTGGTCCCCACCCCACCATAGTCACCACCCGCTTCCCTAGCCTCCTCCACATGACCACCCTCCAACTTACCCCACCTGGATTAAGGGGCGGCACCGGACTAAAGGGCAGCACCGGACTAAGGAGCAGCACCGGACTAAGGGGCAGTACCGGACTCAATGGCGGATCCTGGTTGGCTGGCTCTGGCGGATCCTGGCTGGCTGGCGGATCCTGGCTGGACGGCTCTGGCGGATCCCGGCTGGACTGCTCAGGCGGATCCCGGCTGGACGGCTCTGGCGGATCCCGGCTGGACGGCTCTGGCGGATCCCGGCTGGACGGCTCTGGCGGATCCCGGCTGGACGGCTCATGGCTGGCTGACGGATCTGGCTGCTCATGGCTGGCTGACGGATCTGGCTGCTCATGGCTGGCTGACGGATCTGGCTGCTCATGGCTGGCTGACGGATCTGGCTGATCCTGTCTGGCGGAAGGCTCTGGCTGATCCTGTCTGGCGGAAGGCTCTGGCTGATCCTGTCTGGCGGAAGGCTCTGGCTGATCCTGTCTGGCGGAAGGCTCTGGCTGATCCTGTCTGGCGGAAGGCTCTGGCTGATCCTGTCTGGCGGAAGGCTCTGGCTGCTCCTGTCTGGCGGAAGGCTCTGGCTGATCCCGTCTGGCGGAAGGCTCTGGCTGATCCTGTCTGGCGGAAGGCTCTGGCTGATCCTGTCTGGCGGAAGGCTTTAGCGGCTCCGGTCTGGCGGACGGCTCTGAAGGCTCATGGCAGACGGGCGGCTTATGCAGCGCTTGGCAGACGGACAGTTCAGACGGCGTTGGGCAGACGGGCAGTTCAGGCGCCGCTGGGCAGACGGCAGACTCTGGCCGGCCGAGACGCACTATAGGCCTGGTGCGTGGTGCCGGAACTGGTGGTCCCGGGCTGAGGACACGCATCTCAGGGCTAGTGCGGGGAGCAGGAACAGGGCATGCTGGACCCTGGGAACGCACTATAGGCCTAGTACGTGGTGCCGGAACTGGTGGTCCCGGGCTGAGGACACGCATCTCAGGGCTAGTGCGGGGAGTAGCAACAGGGCATGCTGGACCCTGGGGACGCACATAAGGCCTAGTGCGTGGTGCCGGAACTGGTGGTCCCGGGCTGAGGACACGCATCTCAGGGCTAGTGCGGGGAGCAGCAACAGGACGCACAGGACTCTGGGGACACACAGGAGGCTTGGTGCGTGGTGTAGGCACTGGTGGTACTGGGCTGGAGCGGGGAGGTGGCGCCGGAAATACCGGACCGTGCAGGCGTACTGGCTCCCTTGAGCACTGAGCCTGCCCAACCTTACCTGGTTGTATACTCCCCGTCGCCCGACCAGTACGGGAAGGAGGAATAACCCGCACCGGGCTATGTGGGCGAACCGGGGACACCATACGTAAGGCAGGTGCCATGTAAGCCGGCCCGAGGAGACGCACTGGTGGCTTGATGCGTAGGGCCGGCTTCATGACCTCCGGCTCAATGCTCAATCTAGCCCGGCCGATACGTGGAGCTGGAATGTACCGTACCGGGCTATGCCTGCGTACAGGAGACACCATGCGCTCTACTGCGTAACACGGTGTCTGCCCGTACTCTCGCTCTCCACGGTCAGTCCAGGGAGTAGGCGCAGGTCTCCTACCTGACTTCGCCACACTCCCTTTTAGCCCCCCCCCCAAGAAATTTTTGGGTAGTACCCACGGGCTTCCAGCCTCGACTCCGTGCTGCCTCCTCATACCACCTCCTCTCGGCTTTAGCTGCCTCTAGCTCTTCACGAGGGCGGTGATATTCCTCCGGTTGTGCCCAAGGACCCTTTCCAGCCCGTATCTCCTCCCATGTCCATGAATCCTTTGGAGGCGTCCATAAATCCTATGTAGGTAGGTCCTGTTGCCGCTTGTTACGCTGCTTGGTCCTCTTGTGGTGGGTTTTTCTGTCACGACCGTCTTCAAAAGGAGCAGACCAAAGCGCAGCGCGTTGAGTGAACATGACTTTATTAGAGTAAAGACACGAACGACAAAAACAATAAACA